TCCATTGATGTCCACCCATCCTTTCATCAGTCTCTTTCCATACATCTGACCTCTGTTCGACCTATCCATACGTCCATTTGTTTATCTGTCCATCCTGATATCCATTCACCCATCCTTTTGTCTATCCAAAAATCTGTCTGGCATCCATTCCTCTTCCTCCAACAATCCATCCACTCACTCCGCACTCGGTGATTTGTGCAGAGCTTACACTTAACGCCAGACTTCTGTAGAAATATTTGCCGTAAACGTGTAGAAAACTGCTGCAGTTATACTTAAAAAAAGGTTTGAGAACTCATATAGAAAACTGGAAGATTGACATACAGCTGACTTCAGGTCTGCAGTCTATCTCAGGCTCACTCCCTGTGGCACTGATTCCATTCAGTTTGCTCTAAATGGGATCTTAATAACATCTTTCTCCTCCATCTGTGGTTAAATGTCAATAACTTGTTGCCCTTGGGAAGTCAGACTGAAATCTGGAATCCTTTTGTCTTCCACATATAGTAATCTGCCAGATGGTGAACTAACGGTGTTTTTTTTACAAGCAGTTTATTGCAGCAAATCTCTGTGTCCTGTTAGTCTGTTTCTGGGAGCAGCTGGTTCGCATCTGTTAGCTGCCTTTTACAAAGAAACTGAGCTCAGCACTTGTTTGGGCCATTGACAAACAAATTTGTGGACATACACCTGAGATGGGAAACAGATCCAGTGCCTCAAATGACATCAGTCATTTGAGGCACTGGAAGCTGACGTTACCTAAACGGCAACAAGAGCCAACAATGCAACAGGAGTCAGGTTCTAAATGGTTTTGAGGCACAAAATGTAGCTTGTTTCTATGTTGGTCACAAAGACCACATTTATTTTTCATCCTTTTCTAGATCAGCATGCAAAATCTTGAAATCTACATTATTACTTTTACATCTAGGAAAAATAATTTCAACATGACTGTGTGTGTTTTGTTTTAAAAAGAAATATGGTAGCGGAGGGGGAAAGAAATTGTTTTAAGCCTTAATATCATTGGCATTCTGTCATTTAACCACTAGATGGGGCTAAAACACCAGATCACAGAGATGACATTTGATAATAGTATTTGACTCAGGATGACTCCATCTTGTTCTACACTATAGATTGTCTACGGCATTGTTCAGACTGACAAACTGCAAAAACACAGTTTTGTTTTTTTTTTGTTTTTTTTTAGCAACTTTGTTTATTTCAAATGTAATCAAAACAACATTAGTTACAGAAATTACAGACAGCTGATACTGAGTGATTTTGTGTACTATGTATAGTTATAATGAAAAGAAACAGGAACACAGAAAAAAAATATATATAAACTTTTCTTTTTGTGAATATTTGTCATATGTCAACATTTAATCCAACACATGAGGAAGTAGCACACAGCATCAGTACCATACCTCAGCTCCACTCAGTTCATGTGTCAGACATAATGTTTATAACGATGGAAGTAAAAGCCAGTTATCAAGTCCAGTAACAAGAAACCAAACAAGCTCCAGTTTCTGCAAGATCAAGTGTTGTGGTCTCTATAAAAGTCTGTTTACACACACAGTCTCAATCACTCTCTCCAACTCCCTTTCGACTGTTTCTATAAAACACTTGCAGTTTCAGGGAAAAGAGTAGAACAGGAACGTACAAGCACTTGTATGGAGCCGTTTCTCCAGAGGAACTCTTGTAACAGTATTAAAACACACCTGAAGGCATGGAGAACCTGCTACACTTACCTAAACCTCCAGCGTTCTCCTTTACATTAACACTATTGTGCATCATGGGTTGTGGGCTTTCCTCAGTGATCAATATCGTATTACTATGTGCACAAGTTTAAACAGTCAGCGTTTTCCAGTTTTGGTGCTTGTACAGAATTTCTATGCATGACTTTGATTGTAAAGAAGATGAAAGGAAAAAGAAAAAGAAACTGTTAGCTTTGATGCTAAGCCTTCTCCCTTAGTTGCTCTTGCTCTTGAGAATAGTGACTTCTGTAGATGCATTTGGCAATTTTATGAACTGGCAGTTGAAAACATTAATGAATGCTTTTGAACTTCCTGTGGGGCACAGTTTCTTTATTTTCACAGAAATGTCAGTCCTCCAAAAGTATGGCTGAATATGGAGGCTCTAAAGCAACTCCAAGAAATATTTTGTCCTGTTGTAAGTTCTGATCATTATGAACTGGGGTCTACCCCAGAATGTTATTCTGTCATTTAGTTGGTTTTTAAAAGACTTAAGGTAGACTGATATGTTAGTGGAGGCAACACAATTTAAAAAGTGTTATAAAAGTGTTTACAGCTGCACTGATACTATTTTCTATTTGTCTCAAGGCTACCTCATTTTGAGAGTCTTAAAACATTTGAAGGGTGGATTTAACATACAGTGTAAGAACAGATTGCAAAACATTAGTTGAGGGTAGTTTTATAAGAAGCTGCAAAGCTTCTAAGCAGAAGAAGTTTGAAAAGGATAGGGAGATGCTCTTCTTGGAGCACTGGCTACTGGAAAGTGCCAATGTGGGTTCCAAATTTCCAAATAGACCTATAATTGTTTGGATAAACAATATCCTGTGCTCTGCACAATTAAGCCATTCAGAACATCTGTTTTTATTGTGGTATTTAAATGTGACCAATACAGTTTTCAATAGAAAACCAATTTTCTTAAAACAGTATTATATTAATTTAGGAAAATAAATATTTTTGTAGGTCAAAATAACATTATTTTACACATTATTATGTCATTTTGGTAGGGGTGTTGATGAATTTTCTGAGATTAATTTAAGAATTACTGGCAAAAGTCTAAGCTAAAAGGTTTGCTTGCTAACATCCATACAGCAAATTTTGTCTGTACAACCTCTATAAAATCTCAGAAAAAGGAAAGGTATTCATCTAATTCAAATCATAAAGGCATACAACATTTGATACTAACAAATGAGTTTCTGTGTTAATGTCAAAGAACAGGTAGCATTAGCCTAAACAAAAAGCTGTTAGCTAGCTTCCATAGCTACTGCTAATTTTGTCTTTGTTCTATTTTTAAAATTCTTTTAACAGAAAATATCTCTATGTTAACTTACTTGAAATCAGAAAGTTGGTTAGCATTGAATACAAAAAGATAAAAAATATATTTTTGCGTTTTATCCAGGAAGCTTCTAGTATCAGCCTAAACTAAAAACGTTATTGGCTGGTTTTTGTAGTTATTGTTAATTTCACCCTTACAATGTTTTAAAGTTTTTATGTATTTGGAAATTTTTACATGTCTTCAGAGTTATTAATAATTTAAGGACATAGGAGAAGGATTTAGCATGTTTTACAATTTTTGCTGTTTTCAAAGAATACTTTGTACACAGTTTTTAATAACAGAAAATGGCTTCTGACTATCGTAACAGTACTTCGTCAAAGCTACCGCTAATGGCAGCTGAGTTGTGAGGTGTGGAGGCTGTGAGGGAAAATGGTTCTGATTAGTCTTTGGTTTCAATGTGATGGCAATGTGGTGTGAGCAGAAATAAACATCAAAACAACTGGAAAGTTTATGCATTTTCTGTGTCCTGAACAGATGGAACATTGCACTTTTTTGTTTTGCAATTAGAATTTCAGTATATTGATCTTGAGCGTCTGCCTCAACAATAAGTCCACAATCATTGGTGTAATCAGCAGAAATTAATGTTTAGATTGCGTATTGATCTGTGACAGCAAGAAAAACACAACAGTGTTCACATATAAGTAAAAAAGTAGAGGACAAAAAGGCCACTCATAAAAAAAAAAAAAAAAATGTCTCTCAGTACCATCACCGCTATAATATAAATGTTTGCCATGAGTTACCTGAATCTGCAAATGTTTTGGTTTGGTATATACATTATTATGTTCAGAACTGGTTATTTCCTGCTGTGAAACTAGAAAAGGAAACAGTCCTTTAAATTCAATAAAACTCCAATCAGTGACATTTGTTTTCAGAAATAGTTACGGCCAGATGTTTACATACATTCATCACATTAATTATTGTAATTATTTTTAACAATTTTCTAAACATAATTTAACTGGATGTTGATGTGGATTTTCTCACTCCACACAGTCTCAGAACATTGGAAAAGTACAAAGAACTTATTGAAGATCTACAAGAGGAAATGCATATTTTCACAAACTTGGGTATTTCAGATTTTAGGATAATCCATTTCAAACAAGTGCTATTTGACTGTGTCAAATGAAGGCTTATCATTCACTTCCAATCAGAAGTTAGACTTTTAAAAGTTAAATATCATCACAATTAGGTGTTTCAATGAACAATAATCCCATATAGAACCTATGATTTTGGAGTAAATAAAGCAGATTAACTTTAAGATAACCCAAACCCTCGGATTAAGAATTTGTGGAGTATTTTGCATTTATGACAAGTGGCTAAACATGAAGCCAGTATCATAACACAATGTTGGTGAGAGCTACCAAAAAAGCCTGTGATCAAGGTGCAACTTGCCATGGGACATTTAATCAAAGATTAGTGAGGAAGATTGTGCATAATTTTGACTGTGAGGATTCGAGAAAATCTACAATAAATTGAAATTAGGCAAAGACTTAAATGAATTGAATGAAGCTTTCAAACTAAATAATCCTACTGATCAGAAAGTGGCAAACCAAATATTACCGTGGATCAAAGAAAATCTACAAAAGATTAAAATATCTATGCCCAATTGTTTTTTTTTTAATAAATGGAGTTGTATGTACAATCTGGAAAAAGGTTAGAAGTAATTTAAAATGTATACCATTCATTATCATGATGACTGTATGTAAAGACCTGACTGCACATCCTCTGAACCTCTGAATGTAATGTAAGTCACCTGTACAGAGCCAGCTCAAGCATAAAACCCCACATAGTAAGCAGATATCCCATCAGTGCTGTTAACTACTCCTCTGTATTCACACACACAAATCACTGACACTTCAGAAAATATATTCACACTCACAAGCACCTGTCTTGTAAATCTGCAAGATCTAAAAATGTGCATGAAAATGAAAGAAAGAAAAAAACTGTGCAAATTCTAGTCAGGGACAAAAGGGCACGGCCTTAATGAATATAAAAAAAAAAAAAAAAAACACAAAACAAATGTTCCCATCACCCATGAAAACAAAAAAAATAAAAACACAAAGTTTCCCCAGCCGATCATCATAAACTAACCCATAAAAAAAGAAGCTGAGTGTTCAGGGCTCTGATTGATCTCAATGACTGTTCAGCTCACGTCATGTCGCACAGCAGAGCAGGCTGTGGAAAAGTCAATTACATCTGCTGAGGTATTGAAAAGCAGTACCAACAGAGAAATGTGCCAAGCCTATCGTACTGATAATTGCAAAAAAAAAAAAAGGGAATTAAAAAGGAAAACTAGTATAAACCAGATGGATATACAAAGGCTTATAACACCACTGACAATCAAGTGGAAGTCTCTGTTCACTTACTCTGTATTGGTTCTGAAAATATATATTATATAGGTCACCCTGCTTCCTGCTTGGATAAAAACAACCCAGTCAGTCCAGTCCCTCCAGCAGCCAGAAATCCTTATCAATGCCAGCTGAATTGATGATGCCTCAGTGCCGTCCCATCCCCCCCTGTCCCCGGCAAGTCTGTTCCTCACCGACAGGAGCTGTTCAGTGGGTTTCATCTAGCTCTAAAGGGCCAAATTCAGAGTTTTACCAAAGCTCCGATAGGTCGATCCTGGAGGTTCTGGGTGAGAGGCTCCCGGTGAAGCAGGATGGGTTGAGAGGGAGGCACCAAGTGGGGGATGAGAATGCCTCACCTCCTCCCTCAGCACTGCTCTGACTCGATGAAGCCCTCCTTCTCGTGGCCCACCGGCTCCACCTCAGCGTACGCGGGATGACCTGAACCCCGGCGAAATTTCATGGCCGGCCACCTGCTCGGGCGTCTCTGCGGTTGGGTGGAGAGGACACATGTCAAGATGGAAGATAAAACTACAATGTTTGAAGGTTACTGTCAAAAAGTATTTACTCTCATACGCATTTCCTTCTGTATTTATCACTCGTAAGTGTGTTTCAGATTGTTTAAAATATTTTAAAGAGACAAAAATAACTTGAGGTAATACGACAAGAAGTTTCTAATAGTGATTTAATCTATAATGGAAAATAAACTGTGTTCAAAACCACCTTCATACAGTCACACTGAAGACTTTCAATGCATCAACAGTCTGCCACAGTAACAGCATTAAATTCAAACCCTGACTTTTACTAAGGCCATTTCAAAACATTAATTTTCTCTTTTGGAGCCATTTAAACGTCGCCTTGATTCAGTGTTTTGCATCATCGTTCTGCTTAATAACCCAAGTATGCTTAAGGTTAAGGTCTCAAACTGATGGCCAAACATTACCACCGCCTCAGAAATAAAGTTACAATGTTCCCTGGCAGTTATTTGACTGATATTAAATTGTGTATTATGATATCACCCTGGTACAAAGTCGATAACCTCTGCTGCATGTAAATCATATCTCTAGTGTTACGCCAGCAGGTCTGATGCTGCTTGAGAAAAACCCCCCCAAAAAAAACAAAGTCAGCTGTGATTAGTTTGTCTGAAAAAGGTCTGGTTTATTTCTCAGACAGAAACGACTAAGAAATAATGAACAGACGGTAAAAACTCAAGCCAGAGTTTTTACCCTGATGTTTCTGCTACAACTCACCTCGATGAGGAAGAGGCTGGCAGCAGAGGTTGGGTGATGGTACATGTAGACCGTGATCAGAACGCCGGCAATCATGATGAGCATCACCAGCAGGATGCCCAAGATCATACCGGTGTGCAGAGGATGCGTGCCTGGCACCCTGTTGACGGCGCTGTCAGCTGGCATTACTGAAAAGAAAACCCATTTGTATTCGTTTCAAAAGGCTACATTTAAAAAAAAAAATATTTTATTTAAAAACATTTTCAAATTTTATTGCAGCTCTCTTGGTAGCCACTAGGGGGCACTCACCATTTATCAACTGAAATGGTTTCAATATTCCCTGAAGTTCATATATTTACCATATTGAAAACAGAGATGGCACTTTAGACGAGTTTATTGAGGCATGCATGTGTGAAAGAGCAATTTAAATCGTATCCTACATTTTCATTGCTTTATATTTTCTGTCCTTCTGCAGGCCTTGAAAGGTCTGCTTTAAACTTTAAACTTAAAAGATAATTTTCTCTTCCTGCAAGCTGTTGGTGAAGTGACAGGTGTGTGGATCACTTAAGATTCATGCTTGCCACTAGACACAGCAGAGGTTGTGATGGTGCTTTTGAAAGATGTAAAGAGCTTCCTGTAAAGCTCTACCAATCTCTTTTTATCGTTTTTGGCTCGTTTTCAGGAGAACAAAACAGCTTCTCCTGCAATTTCTTCCCAATTTTTCAGCTAAAATAAAACATTCGGGGACAAGAATAAGCTCAGTTCTCATTTACTCGCAGTGAAACAGAGAAAGCAAGCTATAACGTATGTATTCAGCAGATGTACACCAGGTTCAGGTCGCATCCATTTTATTTCCTCTGTATGCCCCCTGACAACCTCTCCCCAGGCTTCTCTCTGTCTTTAATTAGCAGCTGAAGGCAGCATAGAGCTTGTCAGCCCACCAAGCTCTCCCCTGGCTCTCTGCCTCATTCATATCCAGCGCACAGAATAACAGAATGGTAATCAAACCTGTCCAACATGTGAGAACGCTCGCTATAACTGTATAGGTCAGAGCATCCATTAAGTTCAATCATTGAGAAATATTAATAACATACATGTATGTATATAAACAGTTTGTCTGGAAAAAAGACACCTGATTACATTCAGTTTTGAAGCTACAGAGAGCTTTAAAAAAAAAAAAGAAAAAAAAAGAAGAGAGATTGATATTATGTCGTTTCAGTTTCAGTAGGAAGCCAAAATGATTTGACGGGTTTCTGGTCTGCCACGGCGGCGGAGGCTGTGCGACTGGGATTCAGAGATGATCAGAAATCAGTTCATGCTGGAGCCACAAAACTGGGATAGAAATGCTCAGCGATGTAGGAGGATGGAGAAAATATAGCAAGAGGCCGGTTGGTGTGGTGGTTTTCACACACCATTTGTCATTAAAGAGCATCAGTGACAGAAAATCCCGGCAGTGCTTAACTAATGTTGTGGAGTGGGGGCATTCTGTTGCAGGTGGAGGCCGGTCCTCCATTATCTTGGTCTTGATTAAGGTGTCTAAGGAAGCAGAGCTCTAACAGAGCAGTAAAACGCATCGGACAGATGACCTCAGCAGAAACCCAGACAAATCAGCTGTACGGAGGGGCTAATCCTGCTCCCTCACCTCACAAGAGATTTAAAGAAACCTACAATGAAAGCAGAACTATCTACAATCTTGTTTTGCTCCGTTCCTGAGAAAAAAGGTGATTTAGTCTAGCTGTGTCGTTGCTGCACCTAAAATCACCTCAAGATGACTTCCTATGCTTAAGCTGCATCTTCTTCACAGACCCCCGTCACCTTGAATAGAATTACAACCTCATACAGGGTGATAAAAAAGTTAAATGCAAAGAAAATAAATGCAAAAACATCCTCGCAGTGCCTGTGCTCTGCTGATTTGGAGGCATGTGGCATTTTAGCAGCCAGAAGCGTGATAGAAAGCCGCGGACTCGCAATTTCTCTCAAACAGGAAACGAGAATGTGTTTTCAAGCAGCACCAATTCTCGGAGTCATTACAATGTTCTGCTTTTGAAGACTCACCTTGGTTGTCTCTGAGATGCAGCGCAATCTTGGTGTCATCTGTGAGGAGACAAAGAACCACAGGAGACAGACAAAGTAATCAGAATTTCTCTTTGTAGTTTGTTTTTGAGGCTTTAGCTCTATTAGGACCCCCCTCGAAGGCCCCAAATGAGACGAAGCTTCTTTCATTAGTGAACCATCTTCATTTACTACGCTTATTAAAAATGAATGCCTTGACTATAATGAATAAGCATCAATAATTCAACACATAATATCAGTCTGGGGTTAACTATACGTGTGAAATATGGAAATGTAGCATGACCCACTTCTACTTCAAGGGTAGCAGGCTCTTACACACCATACCATTCACATTATGCTAATCTGGCACTTTTTCCACCAGGTCTATTTGCCTCAATGACTTCATTCAGAGAGAGCCACTGCTTCTAGTTTCAAACAGACAATGAAACCATATCCTCGTGTTCAATGAGTTCTGTAAGAGGCAACGATTATTATTTAGTGGAAGATAATCACACACCATAGAGTGGTGGTAGGTAGGTGCTGATGGGAAAGTGGATGCTGGTCAATCTGGGAAGAAAGTTTAATGCGTTAGATGTTTCTGTGGGTGTCCGCCCAGCAGCTTTGAACTCACAGACAAGCACACTTTCCACTCAGTTGTCACTATGGCCTCCTTAGGGGTGATAATGTGCTGACTTTTATGTAGTCTATTCCAAAGAGGAGGAGAAGAAGAGTATCAGCGCAGTTTTTGTATCCTTGTTTCCCACAAGATAAATTGTGCACAAAGTTAGATATCCCACCACTGTATTTTCTTTATCCGCTATGTTTGGCGCCACCTTATGTCCGGCACTTTTATTGTATGGGTATAAATTAAGATATAAAGCCTGTAAAAGATTTGAGAGTGTGGAATAAATTCACCTTCCAGCAGGACAATGACCCTCAACATACAACCTGAGCTACATTACATTGGATAAAAGTATATTCATGTATTAGCATGGCCTAGCCAAAGTCCAGACCTAAATCCAAATGAAAATCTGTGGCAAGACTTGGAAATTGCTGTTCACAGGAGCTCTCTGTTGACTGAAAAGATATTATTTTGATTTCTAAATTGGTAGTGACAAATCAGTTTTGCACACCAAATGAAATGTGCTACACAATAGGGAACTCACTAAATGACTAACCTTTGTTTAGTCATTTTTTTCCCCACTTTACAGTTATGCACCACTTTTGTTGGTTTAACATAAAAACCAAGAAAAACACATACTCATGTTGTTTTTCTGGGTAAAGACATCTGGATCCCCATTATTAAGATGTCCTAATTAAAGAAACAAATAAAAATGTTTTTCTCTTTTAGCACAAACTCTTTACATCAAGGCAAACACATGAAGTGCTGCAATCAACAGTCTTCCTCCCACACGTACTTCTCTTCCTCTTTCTGCCTCTTTTTCTCTTTTCAAACTCTCCCATCCAGTCACAGGTTGCCTGCATTTGAGTGATCCACAGCCTGCTCACTAATCTGACCTCTGACCCGCTGCAGCTGAAGAGACAAGCGATTGTTGAGGGAGAAATTGTCCCCTGTACATGTCAGATAGTCAACCAAAACAAATGCACATACCAGAGCGTAACCCCTAGCGACCCCAGACGCACGGCTCGTTCTCTCGCCACACCCTGTTTTGATCTGAAACTGTCGGACTCCTCATTGTGTTTATCCCCACAGCTGGATTGTTTTCACACAGCAGCCCAGCCAATAGGGCCTATCCTTAAAAATCTCAGACACAGAGGAGGATCAATGGGCCTGTAATGAAGAAAAGGTCAACCTCTTTCTCAGCAAGCGATGGAAGTAAACACCTTTAAAAATAATCCACTGAAAAGATTAAACGCGGGGAACCCTGAAAACATCTACAACTGAACAATAAAGGAAAATTGATATTAATAGGACAAAATTAAAGCAGGACTTGTCAGCAGGACATTGTTCGTGCTCTTCTAGTTGTGTTTAGCTGAACTAACTGAGCTGCTTTTAACTAAGTTAAGTGCTTTTCTGCAGGTCTCTTGAAAATCAACTCACAGAATCAGAGATTTGGCGAAAACAACATCTTGTTCACACTGGTGACATGTTGGAAGTGGAAGCTGATGTTGCCGGCATAGAAACTGAGAAAGCATTGAATTAATTCATTGTCAGAATTTTAAATATCGATAAGCGACGGTGTCAAACCTTGAATATGAAGCTGTATTTTATTAATTGGAATGTAACACGTATATATTCGACATGTTAAACTGAACAGGTTAAGTAGCACAACACAGATCAAAGCTATGTGCCGTTGGTTCTTTTTTTATCTGTTTGTGCTGGCATAGAACAAACCCTGCAGCCGTATGTTCTGCGCTTTCACAACTGTGGGATATTTCACGCCTCTGCAGGGTGTATTTCCTGAAAACACCCGCTCCGAGTCCTGGTTTCCAAATGTGCCAGTGTCAGAGACTCCAATCGCTGGAGTCGTGTAAACTTACAGCTGGATCGCAACATAAACGTAACGGTCTCACTGAAAAACCGGCTTTGTGTAAATGAGGCCCAAAGCATCTTTCATCCCAGTAGAATAATCACACACAAAAAATGTATATGTTTTTTTTTTTTTTTTTTTTTTTTTTACAACCTTTCATCAAAATGTCATTCGTTTTAAATAAATCAGAAAATGGCTGCAATAAAATAGCTATGTTTAAATAGCCACAATAAAATAGGTCCAACAATGACTAAATTTTTAATACAAGAGATGTGGCAAACATGGTGAATCAGGATCCAGGCTTATCTGGTCATCATGTGCAGTGGACAGGATATTAAGGGAGGTAAAAAGAAATCTCCACCAGCTCACTGTTATGCAACTGTAGTCATCCGTTCCCAGGACTGTGCAAAGGTGATAAAATATGAATTGTGTTATGGATCTTTATCAGGGATGCCTCTAAGGACGGCTCCAAACCTTTACACACTAATGCAGCTCATCAGACTGGAAAGAGTACATGTTTGAAATCGAGGTCCATTAACTCATTGTTGATCCCAGACATCAAGCTGGAGTAACATCAATAGAAAAGCACAAGAAGAAGAAAAGGAAAGAAAAAAAAAAACATTACATAAAGTAATGTGTGCTTTTAGTTTTGATTATAAAGGGTTTCTATGGCAACACATAGTGCGTGGGCACAACGTTCAAGCTAGCCACATCTGGGGTTATTTTTGATAAACCATCTTTAACTAAAATAAGTTACTAAATAATCATGCGAGTGGAAACGAGTTCAAAGTGTAAACAGTAGCCTTAGCCAATGCACAACTGCTGCAAACGGCAAGCCAGAGAAATGGAAGTAAACACACTTCAAAGGAGACCTTGACTGTTTTCCTGTTATCAGGAAAAGAACTGTGTCAGCTGCTTTTTACAGAGGATTTTCACTAGATAACTACCACATTATGCATTGGTTTAGTCTCCTGCTGAGGTACAATAATTCGTGCTGGATACATTTCATTACAGTAGCAAAGGAGCACAACCTTCTTGATGTTTGTTGCCTGCACAAAACTTTAGGGAAGAACACAAAGATAATATTCAGATAAATATTTGAAGTTATTTAGCACAGTAAAGAACAACATATAATTGCTGGACAAATTAAAGGAAGCTACTTTCTGACTTTTGTTCCCCTTTGCAACTACATTGCAGTTGTTTTAAAGTCAAAGCTTTGCCTTTTTTGTTCACAGACTTGTAAAATTAATTCTCTATTTTCCCTTTCACAAATGTTTCCACGTTTGATTTCTTAAAATTGTTGGAATATTTTTCAAATGTTCAAAAATGGACACATGTTTTAGCGAATTCCCTAAAATCTTAATTTGTTTGAAGCCCTTTGGCTGTAGGTTAAATATTACAGTACTTTACAGAATTTACTCTTAAAAGTGAGCAGAAAATAATGAATGTATATGTCTGAGTAATTATTATTAAGTATTTTATTTACCGGTATCACCAGATGGTACATACCTCATCTGAATATGCTTGTGAATTATAGCATCCTTTTTATGGGCACAAATTAAAAAAAAAAAAAAACGTTAAATTATCGTGACTGCTTGAACAGAGCATCATTCACTAGTTGTCCTGAGATCCTATGAAGACTTCATTGTCGACTTGTTTTTAGTTTATCCGGTACTTTACCTTCAGTAGGAGCGCTGGTGGGAGGATGAGAGGTGGAAGGTGTGCCCCAGCCTGCTGTGCTTCCTTTACTTCTCGATGCCGTTCTGGCAGTGATAGTGGTGGTGAAGGTGTGCAGTTGCGTCGTGTCGTCTATGTCGCACATCTTGTCTTTGGTCTGACGGAAAGAACCTCTGTTTTATATTTTGTACAAACTCTCAAAGGATATAAAGTGCAAAAGAAAGCTTCAGCCACAGCCATCAATATATTTGTGTGTATGATTTCACATTTAGAATGTAATATGCCAAAAATCTGGACATAGTAGAGAAGAGATGCTTCAATTTAGGTTTTTTTTTTTTTTTTGTGTGTGTGTTTTTTTTTAGGTCCAATTCAATCCAGATGTTTAATTTTAAAACACTGACAATGCCAATAATCCCCAGCCCTATTTTTGGTCATGTTGTCTAGAAACACAGTGCCGTCTGGATCGATGAGCTCAGCCTGATATCTGATCCAAGAATGACATCAGTATTGGGTCAGATACTGTTACTAAAACGGATCGGTCTGAACTCTGAGGTCAAGTCTTTTTTATTGAATCCTTACCTCATCTGGGCAGCTGTTATCCACCCAGTCCTGTCGATGGCGGTCAAAGCCGCTGGAACATCTGAGGAAAGAAGAAAGAAAATGTAAAAAAAAAACAAAAAAAACAAAAAGGTTTTTCACTTATAACCCACACATTGTCTCGTTTTCACTAAGAAGATGACCACTAATGTCAAAAGAAGTGGTATTTTCAGGATTGTGAAGCTACTGAAATTGCTTCGCCATTCACACAAATGGCAACAAAACGTTAAAACTGCACAGTTACTCTAATATTATAAATATATATAAACAGAATTAAGTTGGTGCAGTAAAGTGATCCCTTAAGTAGCTGTAAAGCCGACTGTGGTTACTTAGATGTTTTGTTTGACTGATAGTTAAAGATAATTACATACCATTTACTCTTTAGTCATGAGAAGAAAAGCTGCAAATTATCACTTTTTCCTTGTAATATGCCTAAATTACTAAAATTGGGGCAGGATAATTTCATGCCTGTTAAGCACATGACTAACTTTTCCCCTTTTAGTTGCTTAGACATCTCTATCTAGGTAAATATATATATATATATATATATATATATATATATATATATATATATTGTGAAAAACAGCTTTTCTCCTTATTAGTGGAGAAAGTTTTTTTTAAAATAAATAAAAAAAACAATATTTTTTAATAAAAACCTAAGTGTGAATCCTCAAATGATTATTTTTAATTATTGAAATTTTACACTGAAAATTTTTGAAAAATTCAACCTTTAAAAGAAAGAAAAAATATGCAGTGCAGAAAACAATCCCATGATAAAAACATGGTTTACCAACAAGAGAACCTAAAACCTGTTAAGGTTTGCCCAAAACTGTAAATAACAATATGCAGGACTTCAGATTAAGTGAGACTAAACAGAAAGCTTAATCTTACACAGTTTACAGAAAAATCCACTCAAGGAAACAACAAACAGACCCACATCCCAGGAAAAAAAATATGGTTTAAAGTGAAGCAATGCTGTAAGAACACTAAAAATTTAGCAAAGTCTCCAAAAGATTCTCTAAAGAGCGCATTGTTATGGTAATTTATCTATGCCCCCAAGTCCGTCTGCTCAAACAGCTGAAGCAGATTCCTCCATTTAATCCCTCACTTTCCCCTGGCTGCTTTTCCCCTCCCTCAGGGTGCAGCGAAGGCAGCACAGTCTGGCTCAGTATCACCAGGGAGGTTTGGTCTAACTTTGTTTCTTCTCGGTGGCATCCGTCTCAGCTAGTTGTCGTCTAGCGCACTGAGCCGCGGCACATTTAATCAGAGATGGGCAGGAGAAGGTTCATTTGAATATAAATGAGAGAATATTTCAGCCTGGATTTTTCAATTCGGTCTCAACAGGACGGACTGATTGTGTGTTGTTTTTGCCATTTATGCTTCAGAGAAAGCTGGCATCCATGTTGCCAAGTTATTATTTTAACCGAGTCATATTCGTGTTCTGAACCAATTTGAGCCAGATGATGTGTTTTTAATTGATTTGCTTTACGGTTTTCTCTTGTGAAGCCAAGCCATGCCATCGGAGCCAAATTAATTTTCCACTGCTCGTTCACGTAATGAGTCAGTAGCACGACTTATAATGTGCCCAGAACAGTCTATCGGTTAAGAGATAAAACTCAGATCGCAGCAGTAATTATTTTTCTTATCGGCACTATGCAAGTCAGTCTAGCTCAGGCTAACGCAGCTGACCAAATGTTCTGATAAGAAAACAATAGTTGACAACAAATGTTGCCTATTTTGTAACTACTTACTTCAGCTATTATTTGAAACGTTTAATTTAACAGGCATATCCGCACATATTCTCAGTACCTAACTGTACTTACAAATTTGATGGCTCCTCCATGAGAACTTATATATGAATATTTTCTTTTTTTCCTCATTTAATTGCATTTTTCCTCTCTTGATACATAAACGACTAATGGTTCGTGCCAACAAATTAACAATCATTCGCAAGATTTCCTCATAACTTTATATGACAATTATATTTCCTTTATGTCCCATGTGAACAGGAATTTTACCAATAAACAACTTTGTATCTCTTTTTTTAGAATTGCATGGTATGAGTAGCTCGGATTGTGATCCGACATCTTATTCTTACTCCTAGGCTTGAAATTAACTTGATCAAATTAGAATTAAAGCTCATCAGTCACTGAGTTAGCTTGTTGTGAAACAAGCAAAATTAATTCATCAGAATTAAGATGAAATGAGCAGACACTAGCATCTCACTCTTCCAGCAGATTTAAACAAATCATGGACAAAACATTCATATTTCTGAAAACAGCACTCTCCACTGACCAAAACAAATCCAACCTCAGTTTTTTGCATATTTTCTAACTCAGTGGGGCACACACTCACTCAGCAGGAGCACAGATGTGACTTGTGTTTCAGTAGCACACATCTGGATGTAGGACAACTAATTTTCAACATCTGGTTTTGTGTTTTCCACCATCAGTTATTTAAATTGTGTGCAACGGATCACAATTGTTATGAGTCTTTTTTGTTTTTTTCTGAACCTACAAAGGCACCGCATCCGTACTTCTAGCTCGGGACACAAACTGCAGCAACGCAGCACAGACTGATTGTAGGATGTCTGCATTAAACACGTTTAATCTCATTGCGCAGTTCTGTCTGGAAGGTTCACATTGCATCAGATGTTGGGTGCACACCGAGTTGTGTTTTTTTTTTTGTTTTTTGTTTTTTGGCACATTTACAGAAGCTGGGGATCGGGGGGACTCTGTACCGAGCAGCTTAATGAAACGTGCAGCCAAACGAACGCTCTGCAAACTATAAAGTCAATTTTATGATGTGGACAGAAAAACAGTGTGAGACTTCTGCAAAAAATATGCAGTAAGCACGGCAAAAGAAAAGAAAATGCAAGATAAAGTAGAGGCTAGAGAGAGTTCAAGGAAATAAAGTTTTTAATTTGAACAAAGATATCCGACTTAAAACATCACCATTCTGAAAAATGGTGCCATAAAAGGCTGGTCTTGCATTTGCATGATTTTAACATCTTGAGACAAATGTATGTTAGCAAATTGTTTATTTATCAAGCCAATCAAGTCATAGTAAAAGTGAATGAATTGGAGAATTAAGTTTCATTATGTCCTGAATGAACCAATTCCTTCATGCAGGCCATTGGCAGTTTTGGTTTGTCACTTTATAGCATCTTGTGAAGTGGTCAAGCTCTCTAGCGGCCCCCTGCTGGTCTCAAAAACCGAAACAGCAGCTTTGTTTGCTTATTCTTTTGGTCGACTCTGTACAATTAATTTTAAGGAAAAGTCTTTCCAAGCTCAGCTCCTTATGCGTTGACTGTAAAGTATGTCACGTTTATGGTGTGCAACCGCTTTTGTTATTTCCTTAATAGAAACAACAAATCTCTAAGCTTACCCCAAACGCATCAGCATTCAGATGCTTTATTACCCAACTTCCACTTGTACCTTAGCATGAAAGAGAAGCTGCGCTTGCACCGTCCCGGCCCTGTAGACGGAAGTTCATTGAGGCTGTTCTTTCACAAACGTCAGCGTCTCTCATTAACTCCGCAGCCAGCGAAGCCACGATGTTTTTTAATTAGTGCGTGCCAAAAGCACGTTTGCCTTTTCTAAAAGGAAGTGGCTTGAAGATGCTGAGGGAAAGGGTAGGGGAGCTGAACTGTGAAGTATTAACACAGTCGGAACGCTAATTAAAATGCAGCTTAATGAGACTGCTGCTAAAGGCGTTACAGTATCTCTCCGCATTCATAAACTGCTGAATATATAAACACTTTTCTTATTGCTGTAAATTAGTTTGTCTTTGTCAAATGCGCCAGGATTTGAGGTGCCAAGTCGTGAGAATGTTGTATGAAACGAATCGCAGAGCCTCGATGACAAATCAAAATGAGCGGGACACCAATACGGCTCGCTCTCCCTCAAACACATCACTCACGTTTACTGGCTGCTCAAAAAAACATAAGGGAGTGGCAGATTCATGTTTTATATTTACAGATTGGAAAGTAGATCAACAGTGAAAGAGACACGACGGTCATTCCACAGGCCAAACAGCAACCTCCGCAAAAGGACAGCAAACATCTTTTGAAATCAGAGCGGATCATGCGTCATCTCGCCGTAATTTATTCCCTTTGCTCTTGTGTGTCTTTAACTCAGACTTTTCTATCCGACTGAATCAAATCAAATACACTGCAGCTCACATTTCAGCTGTCAGGAAATTCTGTAGAGGAACGCCAACACCTCTTTGGCTGCTCAAATATTTACTTTTGTTTGAAGTGCGGGAGAGACAAGAGGGATAAGGTAGAAAGAAAGTGGAGCAGAGGTTGGCTGAACAGGTGCGAGTCGAGTGACTGTCAGAATGAGCTGCCGACTAAATACAGCTACTTTTCTTTGGAGGGGGAATAAAAAGCTGAATAAATGAAATCTGTGCCAAGTCTGCAACTGACAGGTCAGAAAGTTAGATTTTAAAAATATACTTTCATAAAAGTAGAAGCACAACATACTAAAAAGTCAGACTGAGATTTAATTTTTGTGATTGCTTTTTTTTTTTTTTTTCTAATGCCATGCTGCTAAGTCTTCCGAAAAGGACAGGATAATGTTTTTCACTGAATTGCATCACCTCGTCTGTCAAAAATGCCACTGCATTGCTGGAAATATGGGTTTAAAATGCCTCTTATGTGGAATCAATGTTACTTCATGCAATTTTCAGCACCCAACTTGAAATAAAAAGCAAATAAACTGGTACTAAGACATTCATACATTGCTTTGGAGCTACTTTGCTTTGTAGATCTGAGCAATCCTGCACGACAATTATAACCTGTGCACAAATGATTAACCTACATTCCTTCTTTTCATCATCATATATTCAGAGAATATGTCAGGCCTATCCTAATTCTAACCTCCAACTGAACTCATGCACTCTGTGCTGTTTTATTTTCGTCTTATTTCTTTCTAACTGTTCAACGCTTTGCATGAAAACGGTTTATAAATAAAATCGTTATTATAAAGTTTTTATTAAATGCTGTCAGGATCTTGAGTTAGTTTTTGGTTTTGCTCCTTTCTGTGTTCCTTAGCCCTTTTCTTTCATTAGATAGGCCGTTTTTCTGTTTTGCTTACTTTTAGTCCTTCTTAGTGTTTCTAGTTATGTTTGTTTCTTGTCTCTAGTTATTCCTTGCAGACTCATTAAAAATCACAATGAAAAAAAAAATGGATTTCAGCATTGCTTCTTGGGTTTTTTAAGGAACAAACTTGAATTTTAAAAGTGAAACTTTCAGATCCTACTGCCAAACTACACGGTTTTGTTTTTAAAGGTTAGATGTGCAGTGCAGTGTTTCCCAACCCCGGCCCTGTTACTGAGCTGCACCCGTCTGACTCAGATGTGTGAAAGCAGAAAAACATCTAAAACATGCAGGGCGGTGTACCTTGTAGACCAGGGTTGGGGAAAAACATTGTTGGATTATAAATGACAGTGTGGATATGGTATGGAGAAAAGTGTAACAGAGTAAAATAAGCCAAACCTGTTGAGCCGATGACACCAGCTGCAGTTGAAGTTAATCTGAGAGGAGATGCAGGTACTACAGCTGGTGAACTGGATACAGGCTGCAAAAGAGAAGAGTCAACGCATATAGACTGTTTTTGTAATCCTTCTATAACAGATGATGATGAGAAATTAACTACTAATACAATGTAAATATTCTTCTTACTGGGTAAAGGTATGATTTCCACAGCCGAAGAGTTGGTGATCCTCGTCTTTGTAAGCTCCACGCGGTGGTACTCATAAATCGTCCTCCGTCTTACGTCTAGTTTCAGAAGACAAAGACAGTTTGAGATTCTGAAGACAAAAAGTAAATCTTGAACCCTGCAACAAAAAAAAAAAAAAAAAAAACGGGGACAAAAGGTCTCCTAAAGCGGAAATAGAGCTGCTGGGAGAATTGGGTCACACTGCATACTGCTACAGCACTTCTCTGCTTTCTTTGCGCCCAAAGTGTCAGGCTATGACTTAGCAAATGGACCAGGGCAATTTTCTCTGGGACCTGATAGCATCAGTCTGACCCAGTCGTTTGTAACAGCAAGACATCTGATGGGGTAAGATGGAGCACATGATTTAAAGACAACCCCACACCGAAACCTAGCTGGTCTAGAAAAACCCATTAGCTTTTGCTTGCCAGGCGAATTCGAAACCATCAGATGAAACTGAGGAACAGAGTACTGTTGTGAAGCACATCCCATACAAGCTGCAAATAAACACATGGATTTTTCTGTGCACCAGAGATTAAGCCACATTAGTGTAATATATTACTTTGACGTGCATTTATCATTTCTGGAATTGATTATTTATTGAGATGCAGAGGGAAATTCGATACAACTAACTCTAGTTAGTTGTAACTCTACTTTCATTTCATCCACTTTATAAAGTCAGAAATGACTTGATATCAGGGTGCTTTTTGGATTAAGAAAATACCGATTTAGGTAATTTATACAATTCGGAGAAAAAGGCTGGTATTTCCAGACTTTATTCTCCATTCATCATATAAAATTTTGTTTGTTTATTCGTTCATTTCAACCTTCTCTCCTTCCTTCCACAAGGACAATTTGGGTTGGATCTTACAGTGGCCCTCCATCTATTTCTGGTTTGGTGTGCATTGAACTATTCATGTAGTTTTCTGTGGAATGCAACTCCAAATTACATGTGGAAAAGTTGCCTATTTGTGGATGTTTTGGTAGAGCAGATCTCAAATGTCCAAACCTGATTGTTTCTTTTGTACCATAATAAATGAAAGACAAACCAACATGTTAGTGTATAATGACAATTAGAAAAATGTAATGTTTCAATTGTTTATTTTTTTGTGTTTTTATGATGTAAATCACTTTGAACAAGCTTGAATAAACTTCTGAAAATATTTCTTCTGGAAGAAAATGCAGCTTAGAAAGTTAAAGCCCCCTAAGCACAATGTCATTTGACAGCATTGGCTGGCTTTGCAAAGCAGCCAATCCAGGAGCGCTATTTATACTCCTCGGCACCCCAAGAGCAGAAATAAGGGAAAATGAGACATCAGGTTGTGCAGACGTGCTGGGATGGTTTCCAGTTTGTGTGTTAATGAAGAGTAGGATATGTTTGGTGTTTGAAGCAATAAAACAGGCAGTTATATAAGCGTTTTTAAAAGGGGTTTTAAGTATTTGCGGATGTCGGCTGTGTTTCTTAACCCCTGCAAATAACGGAGTGAAAAACCACTGAGCTCAGCTCCAAGTTTTGACTTCAAAGGTAAATTAAATACAACCCGAGTAGCTACTGCCACTTGTTCTCAGTTCACTATTATCTGTGTTAGTGTAGAGTGTTGTTTTTAGAGTTTACTACATTTACATTTCAGCTGTATCTGAACCATATGATAAATATGTAAACAGTAAATTCTACCTGTATATTTGCAAATGGCTTTCCACTAAATCCACTTTAAAATCACACTCCAAAAAAAACAAAAAAAAAACAACAAAAAACAAAGGTACATTCAAGTCTTGTGAGTCCCTCAGGGTTAAACTGTGGTTGTCGCTGCTCCAGCTGTTCACATCTTTCCGCTTGGACTAATTCTCCTTGCAGACTTGTTTTACTTCTCCAGCTCGGCTGGTGTTTTAACCTGGGACCTGTTGAGTGCACCGACCCTGTGTTGCTTTCCTCATGTGATAGGACGTCGCCTCCCTGCAGACCTGTTCATTTGGATTACGCACGGGACGACTGATCAGAGGAAACGCCAGGCAGCTCAGACCAGCCTGAAAATAAGTCCACCCGTCATTTTACCCCGCCAGTCCCCCTGTGCCTGGCTTCCTCTCACTTCTAGCAAAGAGATTATCAGGTGCCTAATGGCGAAGACTGAGCCTGGGGAAGGTTAGTTTACTAGCTCGAGGCTGCCAGTTGATTTAAGGACTGCACAGGCTCAGTGGAGACTGGTTCTGGAGATTATGCCTGTTCTTCCCTCCAAAAGAGCACCAAATGCAGTAAATATAATTTGCACTTGTTTAAATCTTTACCAAGTGCTAATTAAAAACAGCTCAAGACTGTGCATAATTCCCAGCTCCAGTCTTTGCATCATCCTCTGAAAATAGGCGCTGGGAGGCAAGAAAGTATGAAAAGTGTGGAGCAGAGTTTTGGCTTCATTTAAAAAAAGAAAATATCACACAGTGAGTAAAGTTTAATTAATCTTCTGAGACGTGCATTAAAGCTGGGTCGTCATGTGTGCTTGTGACCTGTTAATTATACAACCTGACTGTGGGACACCCATAAATCTCTCTCTGCCCAATCTTCTGCCCGGAGGTAAAATGAAATCCTTTATTAAAGCTAAATAAAATCCTCTCGTTACCCTAGTCGGTATGCAGTAATTGGCTGCAGAGAGACTTTCTGTTGTAGCCCGTAGCGGTCATAGTTTCCTTTTGAGTACTACAGCTTAATGCAGTTAAAAGAGCGGAGATAAAATCAGGCATGACAAGGGTGTAAAAAATCTGTCAAAATATATTCCTTCCTCTGCATGATAAGGTTTAAATTGGACTTGGAATGTGCTTGGGCAGATATATGACCTAACTTTTACATTTCCATGTAGTTTTGCAGAAACGGCAGCCAGGAGACAAAATAAATCAGAGAATTAAAGTTTCATTGGCACTAGCAGAGCCAGAAGGGTTTATATGGAGGGCTTTTCTTGTCATCTGTCTTTCCAGGATCCATTTTCCCCTCCTTCTACTTAGCTACAGTAAAAGCGGGAACTTGCCCAGGTGACAGATGAAGCGTAGTGATGCTAAGTGATTAGTTGCTATGGCATTCTGCTTTCCAATGGTGTTTTCTCCTCTTCCTGAAGAGACAATATTCATCTATAAATGCTCACATTTTTATACCCTCTTCTTTCCCCAGCCATTAAAAATAGAACCTAATACCTCAGTTATGTGTGCTTTTCAAGATAATGTAAGAGTTACAGTTTGTCATGATTGCTGATGTCACTTAGTATCAATTTAAGAATTTGTGTGGACTTGATCAAAACCTGCATCAGTGAAGCAATATGAAGGAAGTTTAACACACCAAGATATTTCTTTGAAACAAGTTTAGCTAGGATTTCACATGGGCAATAAAAAGGAGTTTAACCTGCCAAATACATTATATTTCACAACTTATTATTGCACCAGATTCTATATCTGAGAGTGAGGAAGGGTTTGATGGCAAAATCTGAAGTATCTCCAATCTTCTTTAAACCATTATTGATTGCAATAAGTCAAAGTGGAATGAGCTGCGTCTGGTTTCCTTCGAACCTGACACATCTCTGGAAAGAAAAAACTAATTTGGCTGAACAATTTAAGAAAAACAAAGTTCACTTGTAAACTGGGAAACTTTGATCCTTTTAAGTACTGAACACAATTTGAGATGACTTTGGACCATTCCTTCTGATTAAATGCTTAAAAATCAGGTTAGTTTCTCACATGTTTAGAACCATCCTACTGAATCAGCAAGGTCTCTATGCTTTTAAGTTTAAATAAACTTGAAACATCACCTGTCAGTCGACTCTATCACATGACAGAGCATACGGACAATTCTCCCAAATTCCTGTTTAGCGTATTATGTTTGCTAACCTTTGTTTGCCAGCTGGTTGTAATCCAAAAATGATGCACGGCTAGGTAAAGCGCTATTTTAATTATACTAAAAGGCAGAAAAACTACCATCCTCTAATGCCAGATTGGGTGCTACCCTTTCTTTTAAATTGCACTCCTGCATTCTGGCTTTAAAGTGAATAACTATTCCAACTTTTCAAACCGTGTATGTCCCTTATTTAAACCACAACCATCTGTTAGATACTCACTGGGTATTTGCTGGATCTTGTGGACCACCACAAAGGCGTCAGACAGGCCCACCTTCACCGGGTGATTGACAGAACTGATTTGTGATATCTCAATGGGGAGCTGCAAAGGAAATAAGTGAATATCCATCACCAGCAAGACACAGATCTCCCTGGAGCAAGATGTTAAACACTGACAGGTCTAAATAGCCTCACGTTTCACAGTGACAGTCTACAGGAGGAATGCGTACAGTAATCTGTAACCCCAATAAGCAAATGGATGACTCTGGGTCAAAGAAAAAATATACATCACAGTGGAGGAATGTGCGCCCGCTCTTCTTCGCAGAATTGTTTTAATTGGATCATTTTGAACATGACCTTTAAGGGTCAACTCACAGCATCTTAATCAGATTTTATGTCCAGACTTTAAAAGGGACACTCCAAACATTTATTTTCCATTTTATACCTTCAGCTATTTAGAGTGGGACTTGCTGATACGTTTTGGATCATTGTTCTACAGCATAACCCTCTTATGAAGGTGTGACACAAACTGATGGTGGGACATTTTCCTGCAGGATTTTCAGCCAGAAAACAGAATTTATTGATTTAATCAATTACAGCCAGTGATGTATTCTATGTTTTAAATGTGTTTTCTCTATTCCTTTGTTTTCCTGAAACGCAGCTGTGTTTTTGACACAAAACAGATAAAATAGGCTTGCTTTTTTTCCAATAATTGCTGTTAGTTTTATGCCAGATTCCTAACTTTAAAAAATTCCACTGTTATCTCGTCATTTCACAGAAAGATCCTAAGTTTGACTAACATAATATTTTTTTGTTAGCAGTGATTTCGGCTTTATTGAAGATTGATCTTGAGTGGAAAATCATGATTTATATGTTGTTCTGAGTTATTTTGTGACTTCTTGGATGAATTATGAATTATTTCATTGCACTCTTTGGGTAACTTTGGTCTTGGGAAATTTCAGCACAGCTTCTTGTTTTTTTGTTTGTTTTTTTTTTTCCATTTGTGGATAATGAGTCTCACTGCGATCCCAAATCCTTAGAAATTACAAAGGAGTTTGTTGAGTCCACCATTCATGCAAAAATCACTGCAGGACGTAATGGTTCCTGAGATTAAGCCAAGTTCTCCAAAATCAATTAATGATTTAACAATAGGGTCTTTTTTTCACATTTGACAATGTTGGTTTAACTTTTTCCTTTGATAAATAATCTCATCATTTGAAAACCATCCTTTCAGGTTTTGTTTGTGAATACTTCATTACTGAGTACATTATGTGACCAAAATAAAAAGTGTAAAGAAGATATTTTTAAAAGTGTTAAAAGTTCGAAACAGCAAGGGGAAAGACTGCTAGAGTTGTGAGATTTAAGTGTGAAATGAGTCACAGTTTAATTTGTACTAAAGTTGAGGTGATGATTAAAATGTGTCACTTTCACACTGAATGGGTGTGTTGGAAATAAGGTCTGCCTGACATATTTTTCAATAAGACTTCTAGAACTACAGAATGGCTTCAACTAGAAGGGCATGCAGCATTTTGAACATCACACGCAAAACTATAAAGATGGAAGATTCGGTAATAAAGCCCAGAGACACATTACGTCATAAAAATCCTCTATAAGTAAAAAAAAAAAAAAGTCTCAATAAACAAGTAATTTAAGTAAATTTATTTAGAGAAATCAGATTCGAATCTCATATTAGAGCACTGAAACCGTTTTGTACTTTCTTTTGACACATATTTTGCATAAAAAATGGAATGCAGTTTTTCCAGGTTTACTCTCCAACTCTGGATTCGGGGAGCTAAAGTTTATATGGACAAAATGACTTGTGAAAACAGAAAATCAGACAGAAAAGGGAAAAAAAATGGTTGCCATAAATAAGAGCTCACCTCTTTATATGCAAAGACAATCCTTCCTGTGTTGTGCAGTGTGGCCTGGAAGGTGAAGCTGCCCAAGTTATAGTTGTCCTGCAGGTGGACGTGGTCCCACTGCACCACCAGAGCAGTGCCTACAGAGAAATGAATGCATTTAAAATATACGTATTCCCACATACCGGATAAATACAGATTAAAGCAAACCACAATAACACCGAGTTGTGGCCCCTTCTGATGTGAAGAAAGACGTAGAACATGGAAAATAACAGAAAGACATTAAATCCGAAGATATCCGTTTCTTTAAAGCATCATTTGTAGGCAGGAACTACAGAGATTGACACTGAGTCAGAGTGAGTGCTGATATGAAAACACTGTGCTGGAGGAGGATAAAACCACAATAAAACCTCAGCTTTCAACAAACCCAAACCAAAGAGCGGCCGTTATTGTGATGGATTATACAGTTCGGGCAGTTTTTAACCACAGGGAGCCACTGCGTTTTCCATGCTGTGCAGGACCGTGCTGAATGACAAAGTGAACAAGGAGCGGACATTCACTTTTCTTGTTGGTACGGCAAAGAATATAAGTTTCCATCTGTTCTGTTTGACAGCAGTTGTTAGTGTGGAACAGAAATTGGATAAAAGAGATCTTGTACTTCTTTTTCTCCCAGCGAGAGTGCTCATCTTACATAGGATTGCTACGTTTTGGAGCTTTGTGTGCAAAAGGCGTGTATACATCCTTTTCCAGGTAAGAGTTTATATTCCAGACATGGTTGGAGCTCCATGGCAACTCCAAAGCTTGCATACAAAGGCATTTGAATCTACAGTCTGCTTTCGATGAGGTGAAAATTCATCTTGAGGTTTGGATGCAAGTGTTTAAAATTGGTTTTAAATAAAAAAAAGCAAAAATAATCCTCCTTTCAAATTTGTTCATGGTAGCATGAACTGCTCAAGGTAAAACTCTCTATAGCCACCACTGATTACAGTTACTCAGTTATATTTACTTCTCTAAGTTTTCAGGAAAATGTACTTCTGCAGTAATTTTTGTACACCGTACTTTTTATCGTTACTTGAGTAATATTATCATGAAATATTGCTACTCTATCTTGAGTAAAATTTCAGGGATTTTACCCAACAGCAGTAAATTTGGTGACGGAAGAAGAACATAAGCCTGAAATGATTCAGCCTGATCGTTTCCCCCCGATACTTTTACAGTCATTTACACCGAGTATGTGCAAGTCTGTGGTGTAAAAATGTTCATTAATAAGATACGCGTAGAATGTCTATATGTCTAGTTTGTGTTTTTACGTAGGTCAATAGCATTTAGGAGTGTTTCCAACTATCGTTTTTACCTGCACGTGTGCAGATTTTGGGGTTTTTTCCCCATCACTTCGAGATGGGAATCAGACATGCAGGGTACATTTACACCCATTTGCATATTTTTGAAGTTGATGCACTTTAACAGAGGACTTTGGTACTCCCTCGTGTGTTCTCAATTACACATTGAATGAGATGTGGAAACAAAATGTGCCTGGATGCATTTGTACAGAGTTTCATCCATGCAGATCTGTTTGCATTAATGCAGTTTTCTTGGTTTAAGTGCATGTCATGTTTTAGATGTTTTAGAAGGAAAGTCATGCATTTCATAAAGTAGAATCAAATAGTTTAATGGTCTAAAAACGATTTGATCCACTAAAGGAAAATGTGGATATTTTGCTCCAACATCAAGTTGTTTCTACACGTTTTAAGCACAAAATAATAAAAGTACATACAAAAGAATCAGAAGACAAATAAATCTATTGACAGTTGTTTCCTTTACTGTTGCAGTGAAGATTGGTTTTAAAATAAACCCCCAGAGGTTCAACTAAATTTAGCCTGCAAGAGTGAGTAAATCAAGGAATAATTCCCTAACATGGCCTTCATCTCTGCCCTCCAGAAAGTGGGCCTTGCATTACTTTTAACACCACTTTGATTTACTGTGGACTTTGGAGGACCTATTGATGTGAAAGCCATTTGGCCAGTTGCCAGAGTAATAAAAGTTTGTTTACACAGCAGCCAATCAATTTTTCCTTTACACAGCCAGAACACTTCCCATTCAAAGTAAATATGAGAGTCAGCTTCTTTGCCGACAGCTCGGAGAGTCGGGGGACTAGTAGCACATCAGCTCCTAAAATAAATCGCGTGCTGTGTGTATGGCGGACACTCAGTCTGAACACATGCTTCACATGTAAGAAGGATTAAATATCGTCTCTCGCGTGGTAAAACATAATTCATAAGACAAGGGAAACAGAAAATGCAATCATGATAAAATAAGAAAGTACACGCTCTGCTTCAGATTATCATACATCAGAATGTAAAACGATTCTGAGTTGAAATGCATAAGAACAATTTAAATTCAATCGCAAATGTAAAAGCACACAACAGGATTTGCTTTTTTTTGTTATTTTCAGAAAGGAAGCCAAAAATGGAAAAACACTGGCTTTTGAAAAACAAGTTATACCCCATGAATAGTTTTTTCCCCCCTGGTGTCTAAAGTTGTTGTGGAGCAAGTTTTGGCCACTCTTCTTTACAAAACAGATTTTAATGACTCCAAGTTTAATTTAGCACTTCATTCATTCTGTGCCAATTCGTCCTAGACACTCTTTGAAAGGGGAAAAAGAAGAGACCATGCAATTCAAGTGACGTGTATCCAAAATGTAACAAGATAAATCTGCTCAACTAAAGATCTACAAAGTACCAACTACAATATAGAACTGGAGATAAGACCAAGTTCATTCTGCCATGACAGAGAATGGTAATGGGGTAAAAAAAAAAAAATTGAGATAATAAAACACAGCAATCTTGGTGTCACCAATTCCCTATAATGATAATTAAAGTCAGAAGGGGAAAACTCTTTTTGTTTTTATGGAAAATGATCCAAAACATGCAGCCAAATCAATATATAAAGACTTTACCACGCACATAAAATCAGCCGTCCTCAATCACCATATTTTGACTCAGCCGTTTGAAACATATTTTAGAAATGCAAAAGCTGATCCGCCATCCATGTAAGAAGTGTAACCGGGCCTTGGCAGTGAGTCACTGTGCATAATAGCAGAAGACGAACCCCAAAGAAATGGCAAGAATTACGGCAATTATGGAGAACGGCAGTTTCATAGTTACAAATTGTTATTCTCCTACTTTGTCACATCAAAATGTCCGACTCATAGAAAGGCAACAATTCTCACAACATTGGCTGGGGTTGCGTGTGTTTTGTCATTGTTTTAAATGTGCAACATTCAAAACAACTTCCATAATTCTCCATCTGATGAGTCTTCACATTGTAAAATTCTTTAAGAAATGGTCATAAAATCCCACGTGGGAATGGGAAAATAATTGGCAGCCAGAAAAAGAACTTTAAAGTCTTGCCAAACAGCCTTGGAGATGTCTTTCTATTAATTTTCCAGCAGAGCATATGACAGTCATGTCCTCGCCTGTCATATTTCTTCTTTTTTTAGAAATTCTAATCAACAAAAGATGATAGGACAGCCGAGCTTTACGCCTTCACTGTGAATTTTCACACACAGCCTTGTTTGTGAACAAACAGCTCATCCCTGCTGTGGACGCTTCATCAAGCTTGTTTTTACATATTTAATGAAGGCCCATCCACAGCACAGCGGAGCGTGCAGCTCTTGTTTGGTATCGGCAGAACGCTGACTGATGGAGAGCGAGCCGGGCTCCGGATCGATTGGCTGCCATCGTGGCTAAAGTCTGATGAGCTTGTCTGCAGAAGGTCACAAAGTCGGTCTGTCAGTCTGTTGCAGAGCATGAGACAGTGATGAGGGGAGTGATGGACAAGACCCAGAGTTTACCTTGGCTTGCAAAAAGCTTTAATAACCAATTAACTTTGTTATATTTTACAACCTCAAAGTATTTTACTAGGGATTTTATGCAAGAAACCAATACAACATCATACATGATGGTGATGCTTTGTAGAATCACTTTTCACTGTTGTTGCAGCTGCTCAGCTGCACTATATGCAGTAAATATATCATCATCGCAATATCAGTGGTGTAATATTCATATCACAAATGATTGCTCAGAGTGCAATATTTGCTGGCTAATATGGTCGAAGTGTAATGAAGATTTGCATGCTAATATAATATTTAGCCAGCTGGTCAAAAAATGACCCCACTCTACCCTTGATGATGTTACAGAAAAGTATAACACTCCACAACACTGAATTCCAAATATACATACATTACTCATAAGGTAAGATCATCAGCAATGAGGCAAGACGTGACTCAAGTTTTGACTGAGAGTTTGAGATGCATCAAAATTAGGGAGACAACAAGAAAACTCGTTGGGATCATTATAAAAACAAGATTTAAAAAAAAAAAAAACACTTACCATTGTCAAAATAGATAACAGTAGAGTTTCTGGAGACACTTGGGTCAAAGTTGGCCATCAGAGGAGCGATGTACTGTGTCGCTGTGAGCATCCGATGGACGACATCTCCGGTATAAATAAAACCTGTACATGCAACCAAAAAGACAAAAATATATATATACTTCGTACAAATGACTTTTTGTTGGAAATAGCTCAACAGGTATACATTTTTGTTGTTTTTCTTATCTATATACAGTGATTCTTATTTAGTACAAGGCTTTTCTCTATACATCTGTGCAAAATGTGCAGGGCTCTGAGACTAAGTGTTCCTAGTGTGCTCTCCCTCCTCTCCCTTGTCATTAATTATCTAGTGTAGGATAATGAGGACAGCACGACTTCAAAAATGGGCTTTTGTTACTTTTTTACTCTTTATGGAAAGACAAAACAAACTCAGGTTCTATATTTAAAAGTCTCTAAACATGGTTATTAATGGAGCCCATTAAAAAGCATAAACACAGCCACTAAATATTACATTGGGGAAAGAATTTGCACTGAGAACAACAGGATCCAACACTGTCCTCACTTCTCTGCAGTCAGCTATTATCCTACAATTTCGTTTTTAGGAAAAGCTTTTGTTCTTTTGTATGAAAAAATCTGTATGAAATACTAGCTGACTTAAACAGTCTTTCTGAGTGTATCAGATGTTTTATGTAAGATAATTCTGAGCAATGAACAACACTTTCAGATCATTTAATTTGTTTATGTATCTAGGTTACAAAAGAGACATTTTTTTATATTCATCAATTATCATTTGTAATTCAATATCAGCTTTCAGATTTTTGTATTTGTGTTACAAGCTGAAATCTGGCTATTTAGTCAGGCTATCTGCTCAGGTAGCCTGCCAGAGGTCAGCTACCTAATAAAACTGTTTCTTCCAGCTTCCAAATTCTAGTTTTAAAGACCAGCAAACCAGCAGCAACAGGCGGGAGAGGGAGCATATTGCATTGCTCTGTAATGCATTTAGCTGAAGATAAAATATGCTGTTTTCCTCACTTTAAATAGATATATTTTTAAATATTCCTTTAAATCATGCCTGAATCTTTGATCAAATCTGTGAAGTTAATATTTCCAGTAAAATGCAGTGTTATAACCGCATGGCTCAAGAAATCCTGTAATGCATAAAGTTACTTAATTACAAATGAAATAAGATGCAGACTTGAGGAGCGGGGGGTGGGGGGGACAAAACCCTCCTTTTTTTATTTTTATTTCTTGCAAATATACAGTCAGATCCAGACCCATAAACTCTCATTTCATGTGACAAGGCATCTCCTCACATATGGCGGATGGGCTATAAAAACACATCCATCACTCTGAAAACTATACGCAGCCTGCTGTGAGAGGAAACAGTCTTTCCCAAATACATCTCCCTGCACAGAATTACCTCGACATGAAGAATGGGAGCAGAGAAGAAAAATTTGACTTGATTTAGTTGTGTACGGATATACCTGGAAAAAGAGTGAATGCAGAGTCCCACAGAGCTCTACAGGAGTTGCTATGGTTACAATTAGTTTTTATCTTACACCTACTGTTCCTTGATATGCATTAGTCTCCAATGGACAATGAATGAGGAGGAAGCTTGGTGAGAGACAGTAAGAAGATGCAGAAGTGGTGTAAGGGGGTCTGACTAAGATGTCACAATATTTCCCCATCTGTGAAAAATCCTTTGGAATTACTCCAGCGTTTCACAAAAATAAATATTTTTGGTCATCCTGTCTGAAAAACTGTAAAAGTTTAGATTCATTTGATGTCAGACACCAATTAACAATGGTTACGCGTATATGTGGAAAGAGGAGTGTTGGAAAGAGCAGGAGGTTCTTAAAGAGACGGAGGCTCAATTGCAAGGCACTTCTTTTAATTTACTTATTAATTCATTTTTATAACTACTGAAGGCAACATTGATATCTGATTGTGCTATAAAATGGCACTTACTGTAACGTTCATTTTATCTTGTTTTTAGTCAACTCAGTCGTGCTGATTTATTTTTTTATTTTTTTATGCTGTATTTAATTTCAAAAGAGGTTAGAATGTCCCTCGACGAAGCATAAACACAAACCCGTCTGGATGGAGGCACAAAGCCCGGTGTGAAAGGGATTTATTTGTGCTGCTGCATCTGCTTTCCACCAACCAAACACAACCCAGCTTAATACACAGTCTAAAGAAAATCAGACACCCTCTCAATACACTAAAGAGGTGAGGGCTGCAGGGCGCTCAATAAATAGTCTGTTCATTCATTATAGTTGTCACTATCACCAGAAGGAGACTGGACAGAGGAGGAGAGAGACCAGGGGGAGCAAAAGATAGAGGCGAGAGAGAAGAGTAATGGAGAGAAGCCTGACTCAGACGAGGGTTGTTTTTTTTTTTCCTGAGTGTGTTTATGAGTTACAAAAAACCTACAAAAATGAGCTGGACTGCACATGTCCAAGAAAAACATGAGCGGGAATGATCGGAACCATCAGACTGAAAGCTTTACTTTATTGTACAACATGTTTAGACAAGCTCTTTGTCCTCAGGAGCAGATCTGTTCTGTGTTTCATTTCCAATACGATTTGTGTTTATCGCAGCCGTTTCGAGGCTTAGGAAGGTCCGGGAAAGGAGCAGCATGCCCACCCGCTTTGTATTTAGTCTTCTGGCTTTTAATATGACATAGCTGTGAGGCTTCATCTACTTAGAGCGTCTCCTTCTATTTTTATTTTATTTTTTTTATTGCTGACTGTGAAGCAACCATCCATAGCCGACTAGTCACCACTCTTATCCCACCCTCAGATCACAGGACATGAAGCAGTTCATGAGCCAACAAAATGTTGGGATAAGTTATAAAATCAGCCAGAGAGAAACTGGAAAGCAGCAGATGGTCAGTAATTTTAGATGACCTGAACAGTGTGTGAGGACATTAAAGCTTTTTATGCACCGACTGCATAAAAAGCTCCTATTGCAAAGTTAACTTTGTTATCAGATAGTTAGCTGAATATCCTTGAACATGTTGCAGATTAAAGAGAACAAAACTGTTGTCTTTAAAAAGAGCACAGCTGGTGTGAGGCCATTTATTCCTTTTTTTTTAAGTGTTCTTTAGTTCTTTAGCTGCCAATTGCACTCGATGTAGAGTTCCTGGCAAAAACATTCATAAATCGTAACATTTTTTAAATTTTAAATTTATTCAGTTCTTTCCTTAGACTTGATTGTAATTATTTTAATGTACGTATGTTTTGGACTTTAGTTAGTTAGTCATTGTAGCCCTAGTTCCTGTTTTATTTTGAAACATGTCTATCCTTGAGGTCAGCATTCTATGTGTTTTATGTCTTCCTGTCATTGATGTTTCAGGGTGGACCATGTGGTCATCCTTTCACATTAAAAAATAGTTTTTTTTATAAACCAGTTGACACATTTAAGTGTTCTGGTAAAAATGTTTTGCTTCGTGATTCCAGAGTTTTGGCATGTAAACATGAAAGTGGATCAGAGGCATTTGAAAAGGCCACTTGCCTAAACAATGTCGTGTTGGAGAGCTATTGGCTCTTTTACTGTTTAGACAGAAGATAAATAAATGCAAAACTCCTGAAGTGACACCTCTGCTATCCTTTATCACAATAAAAACCAGAAAAAACAAAACCCAGACTAATAACCAGCTCTCATGTTCACTGGTGGGGCAGGCAGCCATCTATGACCGGGCTTAAAACTTTCCTTCTTTAGGTTCCTTTTAATAAAGTTTACAGTTGTAGAGGTTTAGGTTTTTGTTATCATTTAGGTTAGCTATGTTGCTTTAGGATAACGCTCTTGAAAGCTATACTGATATGTTTTACTCACTCTGCTGTTTCCTCTTGTTTATTCTCAGAGTTTCTTTCACATAGAAAGTTCCCCTGGCCAGGTGTTTGTGTGAGTCTTTTATCTGGATAATGTCATGTATGGATCTGTTGCTGTCATGAACCTTGTGTGCTTTTTTCCTTTCCAATATAATATATATATATTTTATTTTTGCTTAGCTATGTCTTGTTTGCAAGTAAAGCCAATGGTATAGCTATCCCTCCATTAACTTAGTGTTTTTCTTTCTCTTAGAAAGTATTCCTGACTCTGTGCTTTTGTGTTTTTTTTTTTTTTTTTGTCTCTCCATGCTGCTCTCTCAATCCCAAGTCAGCAGACCCTGAAACTGGCCCCATTTTCGTTTTGTAAAAAGTTGAAAGGTTTTGTCCACGGTTGCCACATGGCTTCACAGAGTGATAGTTTACAGCAAAGTTAACAACTTGATGAATTACAAACTGGGATCACCTGAATATGACGGCACTGTCATCTAATATGGACTGAATTTGGTCACATGTAGCTGGATCTGAAGCAGACTGAAAAGGAATCATCTGGATTCCTCTGAATTGCATTTGGACGGGATTTAAATCGGAATTGGATACGACTTGGAGCGTCTTGTCTTGAGATTATGTTTCTAGTGAATGGGCACAATATAAATACAGTGGAAAGTGGAATTATAATGATCCTTTTTAGATGTAAAAGTCTAGTGGAAAAAATGACGCCTTGAGTAAAAGCTGAGTTGCTGACAGGAATGAAGGCGAAAAGATGGCTGAGAGGATGGGCTGATTGACGAAGGGATATGAGAGAAGGCCGTCTCGGAGACAAAACCCCTGAGGCCTGTAAGAGGAAGATAGCTGCCTCCTCTTCTTCCTCCTCTTCTTCTTGCTACAATTGCTTGGTGACGCCTCTCCATCCCAGTCTAGAGGAATGCAAATTCTTGTTATCTCCTCCCTGCTAGTACGGCCCGTGCCCATCCTCACAGAGCGACTCTAAAAGCAGTTTTCGGAGATAAGAATCAAGACTGCGAAGATAATAACGATAGCCACAACAAATCATTTTTATATTATTTCAGAGGCAGCGAAAGGCAGCCCTGCATCTCTAGAGTAGTTGGGTAAAAAAGCAGGGCTTTGGTCTTTGATGTGATAATAGCTGGTTGGGGTATTTGTGGTCTTGCTGTCAAGACTCAAGTGGAAAATTGCATTGCACACAGCGGTGAACACAACCGCCGTGTCACTTTCCTCGTCTTGATACCCCCCACCTACGTATCCGAGTCTTATCAGGGTGCGACTTGGCGGAGCGATTCGTGTTTCCAGCCCAAAAACCATGGGTCTGGTTTTCTCCCCCAGCTAAGTCTGGTGTCGCGAGAAGCTGGTGCTGAATGCCGGGAGCGGTGTGTTTTCAGGCTAGCAGACGATTACATGGAGGTGAGAAATTTAAACAGTCTCCCATCATGCCGACCGCTTGGCTGGACAACAGCCGTTCGTGGTTCCGTTGTGTGATTTGTGCCAAACGAGACATTTTAACCCTGATACTTCTAATTTAGTTCACACAAAGGCAAGACTTTGGGATACATATATAATTGACATCAGATATTTGCATACACTGCATATATTTTTTAATGTCTAGCATTGAATCCGAAACTAAAGTTTTTCCCCTTTTATAAAATATTTCTATTTGCTAATGAGAGGGAGACAATTATATTTATTTTTTTAACTGAAGCTTACAGGACATGTAGTTTGTATTTGGTAGACTTCCCTTTTGGAAACTTTCATGTGTCCAAGATTTAACTTCTTGGCTGATGTCTCTGTGAAGTAACTTCAATATTTCAGCACAATGTTCTTATTTCTTGATTTAATCATGAATGAACTGCAATGAACTGTTAAGTGCACCAGTTAATCTCGCAGCAAAACGCCTCTATGGCATAATGCAGACACCTCCATACTTGGGGCGGTGTTCTCAGGTTTACAGAATTCCCACTTTTTCCACCAAATATGTCAAAAAATTCAGTTTTATTAAAAAAAAACAAGGGACAAGATTTTAAGTGAGAGAAAAAATAATTATGTGGGTTTTTTTTTTTTGGAGTGTATGTAAATATTAGGTTCCACACTTCAATAGAGCAGTCGACCAGGTAGGTAGCATGGCAAAGATCTGCTTATTATCTCCATAGAAATTTTGTAAGCCCCCCAGCTCTCTCCTAAACCGCATAGCAATAAAAAAAATAACAGTACATTCAACTTTGCCAAGCACATACAGTTGGTCCAACAATTACAGACACAGCTACTATTCAGAGAGCATATTCCAACTTACCACCAGTTGCTACAGTGATTTCACGCAGGAGATGTCCATAAAACGGGAAATCGAAAGACAGATTAACTCTCTGTGAGTGGAAAAACAGACAGATGGCTCGAGTCAGGAAGATGAAGGGAACAGAAAATCCAAGAAGAGACTCCTTTTATCTTAAAGACCAGCAGAGGATAAAGATCAGAGGGGAACTGGGAACAGTAAATATAGAGGAGTCTTGTTTGTAACTGCGAAGATAAAGAATATGAATGATTATCTTTGCCACACATTTGTCACGAGTACAGAAAAAAAGACAAATCTTGGCAATAAAATGTGATTTTCTTGTTCCTAAAAGAATAAACAACAGGGTATGTATTAAAAAGCAGATTGTAACGGCCTTCAGGACTCGAGGGGAAAAACTTTTTCGTCTTTCAAAAACCGTTTCTTCAAATGTATTTTAAGCTTTTTTGTAGTTTTACATAAATCCTGAAATACAAGTAAAGTAAGTGAACTTAACGTATGCAGTGTGAAATTCAAATGAGAGTAATGCTTTCTGAAACAGAACAGTCTGGCTTCACAACAAACAACTCAATAAAAGTAAACTAGTGAGAGTATAGATATTAATGCATATAATATAGCAACATAGAATGTGTATTCCTATTTTGAGCTTTTTGTCATTAAAATAATCTCACTTTTGATAAAGTTCTTCAACTTTTGTAGTATAAACATTACAAGATAGCAAAAAAAGACATATTTTCTCAAAAGTCTTGAATTATCAGTGGAAATTAGAAAGATTTCACATTACGTTTTGCTTCAGAGCACACATTTGTGTCATTCACCACTTTGTCTCCACTCTTGGCAGGATTTGACTCGCATACCATGGTTTATGGACGCATCATTTCATCTGTACACCGAATATGGCACAGTAACTGCCAGAAGAGAGAACGGAGATTGGCAGCTGCAATAAATACTGGAATACATAGCCCTGCATTAGTAATCCTGTGGTAAACCGCCCTGAATCTCACTAGCTGCGCAGCCAATTCCACAGCTTAACTTCTCAGCAAAGCTCTGATGGAGCTGACCTCTGTTGATGTGTTTTGTTTTCTGACCTTATCAGCCTTTTTTTTTTTTTTTTTTTCTGCGCTGGCAGCCGGCGGGTCTGGAAAGGAGCACGTTCTGCTGAGCTTTAAGCAGTTTCTCAGGACTTTAACTGCCCATCGCGATAAACTATTTGTTTAAAACGTTTGCTCTCCGTCACGAGACCACAGATGATTCCAGCACAGATGGTTTTCCGTTCTCAATGAATCAGCCGAAAGCGCCAAGTGTCCTATTTGACTGTCTGTTGATTCAGGACATTCTTTTTACTGATTTGTCAGACTAAGTCAAATTTAGAGGATAATAACAGAGAATAATAAAAGTCATTTAAATATCTTTTTCAGCTGCAACGCCTCATGTCTGGCAAAAAAAAAAAAAAAAATGAAGGCAGAGGAGCAGAATGTGCACAATGTGGGAGTCTATTCTGACTTCTCAGCAAGTATTGTTCTATCAGGTTACTTCCTTTCTCTCTGCTGCCATGCTGTTCTGCTTCTCTGGTCGGTGGCTGCTGCCTTATGACTGTATCAGTATGCAGCTCACATGGGTCACCTGCCTGCACCGACCTGTGAGCAGTGGGGGCTTTAAACATAGCTGCAGAAAAGACTTTAAACTGCATGTAGAAACCTTGGATTTTTACTCCTCAACTCATCTCATCTTGAATATATTATGACAGAAAGATGACAATTGTGGACCCTTTGGGTAAATAAAACAACGGTTTCATTTGTGTTGCAGTGTTAGACTGACTCCTAAGAGATTAACACAGTGAAGTTCTTCTCGAAGAAAGAAGAGCTTGGTTAAAAAAACAAAACAAAAAAAAAAACTCATCTGATGTAGACCTATGTGAACACTAGGTGACGCTTGTTAAGAAATAAGTCGTATTTATTTAGTGTCTGGTGGTGCCTGTTGTTGCAATGCATCAACAGCATTAAGGCAACCATTAGGCAGAAGTGATGAGATTACATTATATGTATAATCAACATTTTCATGCAGCAGCTCTGTATTTTAAACTGTGTTCAGGCTTGTAGTCGACAATATTGGTATCCAATCAAGAAATCTGGAGAAAAAAAAAAGAGTAAAAAGAAGAAACTTGTGGTGCATCAATTCAGAAAATATATAATATAAAGTGTCCACAAGAAAGTAATTCATAAGAAAATAATAATTAATATCTCTTACTTTTATTCTTAAGAATAAATGAAATCAATGTATTCATAATAAAGCTCGGGGAAAGTCATGTGTAAGCCACGTGTATCTGGTAAACCAAGCTTACCCTGAACTTGAACTGTATTGACGGATTCACCCCAAAGCAGAAAGTATCGTTGAATTAGGCTAATAAACTGCATTTTATTTGAGTACTTCTAAACCTTAAATAAATAACATGAGGACCTCGAGATTCTCTTTGGAATTTTTTTAGAACTTTGTTGGACCTGTGCGCTCTTATTTTGCCCTGTAGTCAAAATAATATCAAGAGTACAGTGAAGCTTGATGCTTTGGTCCCAGTGGAAGAATTTTAAAGCTCCTCTGTAAATGAAAAGTGCAACTGCAACTCTTATTTCAACCTTATAATATGTGACTTTGATTATTTTTGTTTATTTGTTTTTTTTTTTAATTTATTTATTTTTATGTTAATGCCAAACTTTTGAACTTGAGCCTACTGCCTTATAACTTATAGCGCTGTACAACCGGGGATGGGCTTCCATTAAAATATAGATTTTTATCCCAAGGAACCTCAATGGCATTTAAACCATTAATGTTTTACATAAAAAAAATTCTAGACTTGAACTGATATAAACTGTCAATTGCCAAGCTTTAAAGGCAATGTACATGCAGCATACTAAGTGAAAGGCTCTCAATTTACAGGCCATTTAAAAAAGACTTCACGCGCCTTTGATCTTCCCACACCTTACCGTTTTACAACGACAAATATCAGTTTATTATATAATGGCTTTATGCTTTATTTTCCTGCAATTGCAGGTATTTGAGCTCTATTTTATTTAGAGAAATCAGGGTAAAGATGGCTAAAACAAATGCATGCCACCATTTTCACATTTATTCTTGTAAAGAAAACAAATCGGTTTGAAAACTCATTTTCTTTCACTTGACTACTTTGTGTTGCTTTATGCAGGTTTACCGCATGAAATCCCAATAAAAAATTTTTAAAGTTTGCGGTTGTAGTCTGCTACATTGTGGAAAAAGCTTAGGGGATATGAAGAGATTTGCAAAAAAGGAAACTGTTCACTAGGTTTCATTTATTACCATATGTCATGGGGCCTGAAGTATTTCCAAGCTGATTTAGGATGCTTCTTTGTTAATTCAAAATATCTCGGAAAATATATTTTAATACAAGAATTTTAGCACGACAATGACTAAGGGCTTAAATCCAACATTTAGCATCCACTAAATCTCCAGTTCTGCTGTTGTTGACTTACCGCCGCCTGTCTGTGTGTGTTAGACAGAATCCCATGGATCTTCACTTTGTCCTTCTCCATCTGGTCAATATTTACCCACAAGTCTTTGCTCATAGGATCTGACGGTCCGTATGTTTTTGATGTGTAGTAGTTGTGATCCATGTCTTCCTAAAAGAATGACAGAACAAATGGTTTTTGGCTTTTAGTTTACACAAGAGTAAGAAAGGAAAATGTAGTGTCTTGCTAAAGTTCACACATTTTGCCATGTTGCAGCAACAAACCTGAATGTATTTTAGTAGGACTTTATAAGAGACTAACACAAAGTAGTGCATAATTATGGAGGAACATCTTGTTATTTTATTTTTTGTTAAGTCAAGTTTATTTTTAAAGCCCATTTCTTCATCAAGGCAGTTCAAAGTGGTTTACGTGACAAAATTGAACAAAATTACACAACACAGACACATTATGTTCCAGTGGCACAAAAAGAGGAGTAATAAAAAGTTGTTGTACAGACCAGCATCAGTCTATTTTCCAGTTACTGCTAATTAAATGTAGCTCTTAAGTTGGTTTTTAAGACTTGATTTTAGGAACTCTGTGTTTTAGCTGTTTTACAGTTTTCTGGAAGCTTGTTCCAGATTAGTGGGACACAGAAACTGAATACTTCTGCATATGTGGTTTTGGTTCAGGGGATGCACAGCAGACCTGAGATCTGAGTGGTCTGGATGGTTGATGCAACAACAACAACAGATACTTGATGCATTTTGGCGCCAAGTCATTCAGTCATTTAGGAACAAAAGTATTTTAGAGTCTGAGCTACAGGGAGCCAGAGTAAGGGGCTTCAGAACGGTGCCGATGTGTCCCATCTTCCTGGTTTTAGTGAGCAGCATTCAGAATCACCTGCAGACCTGTGAAGACACTGTTTCAGTAATCAATTCAACTAAAGATAAACGCATGGAGGAATTTCTCTAGATCATGATGGGGGCCATCTTTTAATCCTAGAAATGTTCTGCATGTGATAGAAGGCCGACTTTGTAATGGTCTTTATGAGTCTCTGATATTTCAGGTCTGAATCCATTCGGGCTAAAGATAATAACTTGAGTTTTGTTTCTGTTCAGATGGAGAAAGTTAAGGCACAGGTTTGATCAATGCATCTTCTCAGTGCTTGTATGGGTTCATGGTCACCCGGTGGCGTCATAATGAAGAGCTGTGTCTCATCTGCGTAGTTATGGCAACTAATCTTATTGCTTGTTAGAATCTGAGCTACCCTGAGCATGTTGATACTAAATAGGAGGGGCCCACAGAATAACACATTTTACTCAAGTGAAAATTATGAAAACACAATACAAACATTCACATCACCATACAACATGTCCATTCTGTTTAAAGTTTACTCCAATCAGCATATACTTTGATTTTCTTCAAAACACTCGACCAGACTGCATAGTCAAGGCTGCTCTGCTTGTAACAGAAACATCTACTGACTTTTACAAGCTACGTAGCAGGAGCCTGTCTGCTTTTATTGTGTCCTGTGCTGAATTAGGAGGAATGTTTTTGTTATCTGTCTTTCCCTCTGGATGTAATGATACATAACAGCTGTGTCTTTTATCTAAAACATAGTTAAAGTTAATGTTCTGCTGGATCGGCAGACGGGGAGGGGCAAGCGTCTCCTGGCTGTGATCTGAATAAGGAAGCTCACTCTGTTCTGTGATTGCTTTGATATACAGGCAGCAACTTTAAGAGCCATTTCACTTTGGTTGTCAAAATGCCAAGACACAAAGAGAACTAAAGCGCAATATTTCTCTTTTTAGTTTGGTTTGCCTTCAGGAGCAGTACCTTTTTTTTTGTCTTGGAGATATAATCTAATAACTAACCTCAACATTCATAATTGAATATTAGATAAAAACAGAATCATGTTTCAGAATTGACAAAGCAAATTTGGAAACTGAACATGATGATTTTGATTTATCCTGGAAAAACATTGTCAAAAACCTTTATTCACAGCTATTTCAGTAGATAAATCGAGTCGCCAAAATGGGAAGCCCTCACCTGGTAGTCTTATTCAACAAGACAAAACCAAAAATGTTTAAAAATGAGCAAATGCAGGCCTACAGTGCTCTAAAAAGCTAACTGTAGTAGCAACTTTGACGGAAAGAAAAAGAAAATTCACTGAAGGCTTCCATTCATTTGTGTTTGTGGCTTTTACCTCAGGTGCCCATTACATCAATATTGAATTATTCTGAGTATTATGCCAACATATTTCCACTTCTGGATGGCTTTCCAATAGCAAAGAGACCTTGAATGAAGCCTTATGCTTTAAGATCATATTTGGGGTGAAGAGAGTGAAACATGTTTAAAGGGCTTCTGAAATCTGAAGGCTGCATAAAGTTCATCAGTCTGTAGCTACAAGACCTCTGGACTATCGCTGACCAAGCACTTTCGGCAGTTTAGTACATTAAGAAAATTATGCAGATGGTGTCTGGAGGCATTGCTGCACAGTACTGCATTTGCAAAAGCAGTTTCATTGCTGCATAATTCATGTTTGTTTCCTTGCATTTTAATAGAGGTAAATAATAATGTTATCGTTTCCTGATGTGTCAAAACACCAACATATCTTATTACAGGTGAACGCTGATCAACATGAACTCCTAAAAACATTTTTGCAACTAATTTCACACAAATTGCAAATTAAATGTCCCATAAGAAGGTGGGACACTCAAAATGTTACCCCAAATCTGCCAAGAGGATTCAGTTTAATAAATAATATTATGTTCTCTGTTCCACTAGTTCAAAAAGCAGCATGATCCGAATCCAACAGACTAATGTATAATTTAGGTGTTCAACTCATGACTGTACAAAATGGGCTACACATCACATCCACAAGCTCATGATCTCAAGTGAAAGCAGAGGATGAATTTTTGAACACATTCGGGTTCACGTGAAGAGCATTTCCAACCTGCAGCAGCTGCATGAGAGGGCAGAAAAATCAGTTTTCACACATTTTCTTTTTACCCGTCTATACCATCCAATGGGTATCAGTGAGCAAATAGATTTTGAATTTGAAGCCAGTAGTAAAGAGCAACAGAGTCCCTTGTCCAACCATTTTCCCTACTTAGATACACATTCACAAACCTCGACTTTACCGCACTGATTTGAAGCATGTTAAACAAGCAGGCCAATCAGCAGGACACACTTTCACTGACAAACCTTAATTACCGAGAGGAGCCGTGGCTCAGTTTCAGGACAAATGTGAAAACATGGACAAGACAGTAAATATGCAAATCAATCTCTTATCAATTTTCCGAGACTTTATTTGTCTCTCTCGGTTTCATCCGAGCGCTGCGGTGTGGGTTTGAAGGAGGCTGTTGTCTGTGTAATCTGTCATCACAGAGCCTGCCACATGTTTCCTGTGTGTTTGTTTTATTCCTGGAGGAGATAAGACTTGAAATAGTGACGGCTTCAATCAGCGACCGTCACCGAGGTTCTTTTAGCTGCATTCTGTAATTTTTCATCTGTTTTCTACACTGTAAGTTGTCATTTTGCTGTACATCTTCCAAGCGGCTCCTGGATGTCTGAATTGAGTGTGCAGAGCTGTGTAGAGTGTGTGTCTACTGGGAAAGATTTATCACACTAAGAAATATAGAACTGGCTTGAGGTCAGGGATTTCAGGTTTATGTCTGCTTGGTATTCTGGATCTTAAGGTGATTTTGCAGCCCAATCAGACAAGTGGAAGTACATTTTATACATGTAAAACATTATTTTGCAGCTAAGAAATATGTCACATTTAAAGTCCTACTACATATAGCTTGGAAACAAACGGGGCCGTGTTCTGTCTTCCTGAATATTGATGTCAAAGATCTGCGAATGTGTGAGATTCAGTCAAGCTGGAACAAGCGTTCTCATTAAAAATAAATGAGGCTTACATTTTCTGATGACTACTGTCAACATAATGTGTCTGAGCTAATCTAACAGAAAACATTTTCCAAGCTCACACCTTTAAAAAACTTTCTTGCAACATTCATAGAAACCTACAAATGCAAACATCTGTAATAAAAATAAAGATGTCATGATAAACGAACTGGAAATCTGTCTTCAGCAGTGACCACTGAGCCGGAAACACAAACTGTTATAATCCCCCAAGTGTTTTGGACTTTTGCTTCAGTTATTTTCAATTTAGATTTCTGTATCATTGTATTATTCCTTGTGTTAGTTCAGTTATTCTGAATTGTGATTTTTGGATTCATTCTGTATCATTTAGTATGTTACTGTTTAGGTTTATTTCCCCCACCCATTCCCTTTTTCTGCCTCTCACTTGCTCCCTTAAGTGTTAGTCCTAATTTGCCCTGTAGTGTCTCCATGGTCTGCTTGTGCACCATTTCCCTCCCCCCCCCCATATACCATTTAAGAAATCAATCTTTTCATGAAATCATAAACTCTATGATGATGCCTCTTAGCCTTAACCTCAACAACACAACAAAAATGCTTTCATTTTAGGTATGGTGAGCACACCATACCTTAAAGATACCAGGCTGCCTATAGCAACACTCATCAAAGAGGATGTTGCAGGTGTAAACTTGTTTCAGGTTGGCTCATGTTGTTAAGATGTATAATTAATGATAGTAAAGAGGGAAGCTTTTGCTTTCAAGAGTTGGACGGAAATACTGTCCCACTTGCCTGGGGATTGTTTAGAAAAAAAATTATATATATATATATATATATATATATATATATATATATATATATATATATATATATATATATATATATATACCAAGAATCTAGAAAAAAATTACTACCAGAATAGTTTTAAAAAAGTCCATTAGTGGCAATATGAAAAACACCTCTGCACTAAATAAATGAGATCTGGCTTATGGTCAGTGGCCATATTGACTCGTTCCCACAGGTTTTTTTTCCACAATTTCTCACAGCAACCTAAAGACCAAGTCAGCAAAGGAGCTCTTTAATCTGGATTAACGATCCGGAGAGCTCCTCCAGTAAGTAAAATCCATTCAGTGTGTCAGACTCTCTACAATTAAAGCCTCATTCAAACTTTCAAGTCAAGGTGAAACAAAATGAGGCATTGTTGGCAACGGAAGATGTGAACCAGTTAACTGAAACAGACTAAGGTGAGATTTAAATGACGTAGGCTTGATTTATTGAAATGAAAAACAAATATTTTGAGTTTTTTTTTGTTTGTTTGTTGATTTGTCAGCAAGGCAAAACTGAGACTAAAACAGGAAGTAGTTTAACACAACAATGATTTTAACGCTGGAATGTTACTTTAGATTTTGGCACAACTAACTCATGTTACTTTAGTTTCTCAGATGTGATCAAATTAACCATCTCCAGAGAAACATTTATGACAAATTTGGACAAGAAAAAAAATGTAAGAAGTTGAGATATTTACGGTCACCAAGGTCACATTTGGCCTGGTTATGCCACAGTTGCCAAATTATCCAAAAAAAATAAATAAAATAAATATGATGGACGACTTCTAATCATACGTAGTTATTCTCTTATATACATTTATTATGTATAACATATATGCATATGTAATTGTATAAATATGATCTTATTAATCAAAATATGTTATTTACATGAAACGCTATTATTTGTGATACTAAAGTTTACTTTTTAATGAATAACTGAGCATAGCTGTTGCTACTTCAAGAACATGTTTATGAAGGTTGAATGTTATTCTGTGGTTAAAGGCTAACACTTATCTAGCCCAAAATGTTGCAAAGTTTCTGATTTTGGATCACTCTGAAGCACAATTGGGCAAGAATAAAACATAACATCAAAGTGAGTCAATAACTGATTATATTATCACTCTTGAAGGTTAGAGCTTCAAGATTATGGATTACTTTAAAAGCGTCTAAACTAAAAGATTATTCCGTTTTAGAGGACTGTCTGATAACTAAACAAGTAGTTTATCCTAGCAGAACAATATAATCTTAAGCACTCATATCTTGAATGTTTTGGGACATCATGTTCAGAAAAGAGGTCAATTTAACCAGATCTAAAGTAACAGAGAGGGCCTTGTTAGAAATAAATAATGGGTGAAAGGTCAAATCACAGGTGTTTAGGATCTTTCCAATATTAGTTTTCAATAACATTATTAAAGCTCCTTCAGCAATAATGTATATGTTGTCAGTGTTTATATGCCGGTCAGAAAAGCTTAAGTCGTGGAATACTGCTAATAAAATATGCAGAGGTTGAATTTTACAGAAAGTCAAGCACAGATCTCAAAAGTGTGGTAGCAACGCCAATAAACACATAACATGCACATTTGGCGTAAAGAGGTTTTCTGAAGCCATTTAGCCCTGCTCAGCAGAATATTTCATTTTGAGTGTGTTGAGCTCAAAATGGCCTGTGTACACAAGTGTGTGCGTGAATGTTTACAGCCGGCGATCAAAGCTTCCTCCATCTTCGCTGGGAGACATGCGCCTGTGAACCTGAGATGATTAGAAGCTGCAGGAGAACTTAACGAGCCGTCTGAGCCCGGGCACCCGCCGTCATTATGGCTGAACTCCTCGGTGCAGAGAACCAGACAAGACGCCACAAAAAGGGGACAGCCTGATGCCTTTCATTCCCACAGACTCTAACGCAGGTCAAGCATGGCTGTTAATCTCCTGCAGGTTGACCGATGTGTTCTCATAGGAATCCGGGTTAATTTCCTGCTCCATTCATCTGAGGTCAGATTTAAGGAGCTCCACTCCCACATATGAACACCTTAAGACTGAGCTTCATTTTATATGAAACATTAAACCTTTAAGCCTCCTTCTCATATATTTTTTTATTGCTTAGATATTTAAGAGGTTTGATCAGTCAATGTGACCAAATAATAATTTTAAGCACCATTTAAAAGGGAACCTAATTTAGATTAAACTTTCCTGAGAGGAGTGGTGATCACATCTTAAAATAAAATCAGCAAGACCAAACATTTTTTTTGACAGCAACAAAGTGACCAGGCTTAGCTGCAAAAAGCGATGCGGACAATTCGTCAATAACTGGACCCTTTGCACACTGAAGTTAAGGTTCTATGAATGAATACTCAGGTTTAAGTGAGCAAAAGACTTCTTTTACTCGCTGCTCTTAACACCAAGTGATGGTGTTCATTTTTTCCCAGACTTACCTCAATCTGGGAGCTGTTGTCTGTGTCCTCTGCGGACAGCAGCCCGGGGAAACCTTCCAGCTCCTCCGGCTCCGGCTCCTGTTCCTGCTCCTGGCTGGCCCTGTTGCTGTCCATGTTACGAGGTTTTGGGGGAAGCCACCTCCTCCACCGGTGACTGTACAGCCTTACGTCCACCGCTGCGCCCTCGTCTCCATCTCGCTCCAACACATACGAATAAGAGACCCCTAAAGAAACATGCAAGGAAACATAAGACGTCACCTTTAAAAGAGGTAAGCCACTTTAAGGTAGTGAATTGTGTTTGACAAATTTAAACCGTCACTACAAATACAGTATAATCCAAATGATGCACCAAGGCAGACGTTACCTCTGGAGCTAAAATATTTAGCCAGTCAAAATGCATAGAGGCAGGTGAATATGTAAAGATGCACATACACGATGATAGTGAATGAAACAACAAAATTCTTAGCAGGACAAGAAAAGGACTAAGAAAAATCTGAACTTTAAGACTAATAATAATAATAATAATGATAATCATAAAATGCTAAACCAAATAATGGCATCACTTGTTTTCTTTTTAAAACAAAAGAATTTGAATTTCAGCTAATTGTGCCTTGCAAAGTTGCTCTTAAACCTAAAGTTAGAGAATTCAGTTAATTCCTGGTCTTATAATTCAGATTCATCAGTTTTGACATTCAACACTTTGCCTTCATTTTCATTCTCTTCAGTTAAAAAAAAGCACTGTCTGCAACATGATTAGATCCTAAAAACTCAATTACTATTCATTCTAGTCATGTTGAGACCTCACCAAAAAAAGTTGAACCCAAGTGTTTCTGTAAAGATATTTTATCTCTTATTATTATTGCTCTGTCATGTGTAAACAAATTACAATTTTCTTGGTTTTCCTAAAAGTAATTGCCGGGTATGACATGCAATAAAAACAAATTAGCTCTTGTGAAATATTTGAAAGTCTTCCTCCATTAGATCTCGGTCTGTGCAAAAGTGGAAATATTTCATTGTACTCTGTTGTAAAGCAACTTGTCATATGACACTATGTGGGAACCAGACCCACCATATGGGCTGTCCAAGCAAGAACTCAATGCAAAAAATTAAAAAAAAGATAAAAAATTAGAGAATGTTAAATTACTGTTTAGTGTTGTTTTACAATAAGTCAGGTGAGCAGCTAAAATAATCTACAAACAACCAATTGCAGTAATAATTCCAGTTTGTTTCCCTTAATTTTCCAATACTCAGCATGCCTAGACAGCATTGTGCCTCACATGACCCTAATAGGATTAAGTGGTTTGATACAATTAGCTATAAACTTCATTTTCATAGCTCTCGTTTAAAGATTCGTTTACAAAGTGCTGGCATGCCGTTGGTACTTTATGCAAATAGTTTTGGCTTGAGGACAGAGAGAAACGCTGATTTCTCAGCCGTCACTGATCTGTGCTCTATTTTACGAGACAGAGGTCACAGGGTTTAACCAGCAGAGCATATTTCCTACTCCTTCCCCTTGTCTCTTTTCTCTCACGCTCATGGTCAGATCTCAGAGCTGTCCTCCTCCTTCTGTTGGGCCCCCCGGATCAGTGGTTCTCCAAAAGGGGGAGGAGTGGGAGTAAGTGGAGAGGCTTAAGATGCTAATTCACCCAAGTGGAGGTTGACAGATTCAGTGGCAAAGCAAAAAATAAATAAATAAATAAATAAATAAATAAATAAATAAATAAATAAATAAAAAGCAGCAAGATAAATTTGCTTGTGGAAGTGGGTGTTGATCTGGAGGAATTTACCAGGGCAGACTCCTAAGTATGAAACATGGCTGGGAGTACTGTGTGTCACAACATGCATACAAAGATTTCAGAGAATAATTACAAGGCTCTGAAATTGAGCCGCTACTCTTCGTGCAGAAATGGACTTACACGTTGAATTTAATAACTCCAGTGACACATAAAGTTACAGCAATTTATCAAAAATTTATAGACTTCTATTACCACTATTAAAGATATTTAAATCAGTTGTAAGACATATAATTTTAGCTTCTTTCTAAATGTTAGTATACGAACACACATGAAAATATGCTGAGGAGCAACAGGACACTTGTTAGCAAGAGACCATTTATTAGCTCATTGGGTTAATTAGCATCGTTCCTGAAATAAAGGTGAGCATACAGGCATTTCAAATAATTAATATTTCTTGAAAAGTAGTTGGCATACAATCAGCTGCCCTGCGATCCTAAACTTGATTAGTTGTCTGCCAATGATTAGGTGTTCAACTCCAGCTTTCCCCAACACAAATCAGTGTTATGCAGGACCGTCGTAGCGTTTGAAAGAGCAAACGATTCAATGACATTAATAGTGATAAAGTGCGTTGACTGGTGCGCATGCCTAGAAATGTGCCATGAGATCAGTTCATTTACCACAGCATTACTGTTTAACATCATGAAATGATTAAGTGTAAAAACAAGAGTTGTTACAGTTGGCTCAAGAACAGGAGAGATTAACGATCGTCTGGCGAGACAAATATAAAAATCCATTTTCGTGTAGGCTCGGGTGAATAAAAAACCATCTCTGACTCAACAGAAATAGTAAAACCAAAGGTTTTAAACAATCAGTTTTGAAGACATTAACGGCTCCCGTTGCAGTGTTCTTCTGTTTGAAGTCTTTTTAATGAACGACCAGTAAAAATAAACTTCCATGAATAATTTCTCCCTGACTCTGAATACAAAGCTATGCAGCGTGCTTAAAAGGTTTTCCACAGAGAACACATTTTTAGATCCTTTGTTCAATGAATGGGTCATTTTTGTCTACCCAGCAATGAAACCGCTTTCCTTCTTAGAGATACAAAAAAGTGATTACACATTAATATGTGAAAATTAAGTTAAGTTTGGGCCTATAACAGGTATAAATTGTGAGATATCTTCTAATGAATGACAACAGGGAATAGGGATCTGAGTGATGCTATTTTTGGTTATTATTACAATGCTTCGTTATTTTATGATGTAGTCTGTGTGACACCTGTAATGGTGCTGAGCAATGTTGTCATCAAAACCAACATTTGTGCTTTATGTCATTCAATTCTCAGTGCAAATGTATTCAAAGTCAAGCATTTTTTATTGAAGTTATACCGTAATTAGGAAATGCTAATAATTGCAAAGCCTGTCTGTCGAAAAAAATATATATATATTTTCCAAGCATCAGTAGGAACTTTTTCTTTTCCTGCTTTGTCCCCAAAGTAGATTTTGTTTTTAAAAATATTTTCTTGCCGTCTCATTTTCAGTATATCTCCAATATATTCTGACTCCCACTCTGTGTCTAATGGCCTTTAGTCACATCTATGCAGACAAAGCAGCACAGGCCTCTTCCTGTCAGCACCCCTAATATACAAGCTAATTTAGGAAGCATCTACATGAACCATTTCGCCTACATAGAGACATCTATTTTATTCTTTCTTCCTCAGGTTGTCAACATACAGTTGAAAGCTGGATAACATAAGATAGGGGTCTTGAATAACTGGCTGCTCTTTTCCCAGAACCTTCCTCTGAATGGCCATAATGAGTCACCCTTTAAAGGATCACTTGCACCTGCATTTCTCATGAGAGCACCTTCCTCTGTGGTGCAGGGATGGCTGAGTATCTTATTATCCAGGGGAGAATTGGGGCCTTTTGTCATGGATTTAAGAGGGCAATAGGGGAAAACCCTTAAAGGGACACCTAAAATATCCCCTCCCCGCCCATCCACCCCTACCAGTATAAGGCTTCTGCTCCCGGATGAGACGGCTCCTCAACTTTTGTGTGAGAAGAGACGCGTTTCCGTCTATATTTCCTCCAGTGCCTATGAAAGCCCCCACATACTTTCACCCTGACTTTGTCGTGCAGCCTTGCTGGCCAGACTCACACCTGTCAACAGCTCTGATTCACAAAATACCGGAGGAACTATAATTTGGTTCCACCTAGGATCATTTGAGGACTCAGAGGTGACTGCAAAACCACAGAAAAAAAAAAAAAAAAACATCTGTCCACACCCATCCTTTGTCATTGAGGTTAATTTGTTTGCTTCCTTTTCTTTTGGGCTTCACCCAAAAGAAAAGACACACATTACTGGCCGGTCATGAAAATGGAAACTGCTTTCTTTTACTTGAATGCATCTATAATGAGGTTAATTTCTGCACAGGACAGAACAAAAAGTTCATACATCAGAAATTTCTCCGTCTTTCAGTCTCTAAAAGCTTATTTATCAACTAAACAGCAGACCACACTGAGGCCTTCTCCACATCGGTCATCATTGTCTACATTGGCACCATTTTGGAAATCTCCTCCTTAAGGCAGAAGTCTACTTACTGCATAAAGTGTATGTTAAACATGCTAATCATGCTAACCACTTATACATAGTTCACAAATTTTGCTAAGTCCATTTCCAATCCTAATTTATCCAAATCTCTCTTTTTAATGCATATTTCATGCATATTAAGAATTGTATTGGAAGCTCTTTGCTGACATCTAGTGTTTGGAGTATGAACTGCCACTGTAATGTTGACTTTTGCATCGATGTTTGTTAGACTTTTGTAATTAAGGAGGTGCTCTGTTTGGGTGTAACTTTGTTGTGAGCTATCAGAATAGAAACGTCAACAAGCTAGCTGTCGGTTTAGCACAGATCCAGTGCGAACAAAGGCTTTCAGACAAAATCTGTCACTAAACTCTGATGGGTGCAGCTCAGATTTTACAGCTGTATGCATCACAAGTGATCAAGTGCAGTTTATATGGTAATATGACATGATGGAAATCATACTTTTCACTTTTTGAAAGTCATCTCGAACGACCTTTCTTATTTCATTTTGCTTCCAGGAGGATTTTACATGACTTATTTATTAAATATATCTGGAGCTGAAGTGGCCCATCCCCGCAGCCGCTCCATACGCCTTCACTCAATTTGTCATGCAAACTCCTACAAATCTGATTTTAGTCTAACGAGGCGGGTTCATCAGGTTCATCTCAAAGTTTGTGCTAGAGTGGCAAACATTTCTAAACAAGTCCTGCATGTTTTAGAAGCCAAAGCTGACACTAAGAGACAGAAAAGCTGAGATATTTAGTTTGCAAAATTGAGCTAAAATAAAGAAAGTTCAACCTTTAAAAACAAGTTCCCCTAAAAAATATATCAACCCAAGGTTCTTTAAAGCTGCAGATATATTATACAGTCTTACGGAAAGTGGATTGCACACAATTCATAGCTGTCGACTGAGAACACACTGAGAGCTCAAGCCCCAGACACACACCTAT